TGTGTTACAAGAGACTTTGCATAACTAAGCCTAGCTGGAAATAGTACAAAATAGCATGGAGAAATAAACAGATAAAAAACATAGTTGTAAGTAGACCAGTTGATTATTCTGAGTTATTTGAACAAAAACCAACAACAACTATCAGTAGTGTTGACGTGTTCAGAACCGAAAAGATCCTTTAAATTTGATTTGATCTGCTCTACCCAGAGATGGGGTAAAAATTCAAATGACAAAAATGGCCTTTTGGAAACAGTCATACAAAAGGAACATAATAAATTTGCTAAATTTTGCTAACTTTTTCCACGTAGATGCACAACATTTTGAAATTGGCATCTTTTAAAACTTCTGATGGAAAACGTTAAAATACATTAAACCTGTGAAAGTTACTATAAATGTTATACCAAAAAATTAAATGAGTATCAAGTAGCCCAGCTACCCCCAGTACAATATTCTGTGATAAAAAGCAGATTGGTGAGAAAATTCCTTTGTATACTTTTATGCATGCAAATAAGGCTGAATTTTAAAAACAGGAGTATAAGCACTGAACTGAAACAATCGTTTTTCTTGAAAATTTGCCTGAATAAGACAATAAATTTAGCAATGGTGCCCTCTAGTGGGACGAAATGGCTAGTGCCGAAACAAGTGGAAAGCATGGACGGCAGTCACAAACTATCATCAACCTGGTTTTCCAATAACAAAGATTCTATTGCAGAGCTAAGGGGATCTTAAGCCTGACGAGGGTTATTTCCTATTGTAACTAGTCAATTATTGTTTGCTATTGCAACTGTTAGCAGTGTGGGGAGTAGTGCTGGTTTTCCTTACAATGAGGACTGTGACATTTTTTCTTTCCTAACAAGAGGTTCTGTGCCTTTAATGGCTGCATTGCAGGCAGGCTTCCTAGGCATGATGATGTAGCGATAAGAAAGGCTGCACCTGTGGAGTTTCTACCTCTCATGTGAATGTTAGAAACTGAGAGCCTGGACTGAGAGGTGCCAGAACTCCCTCATTCTCTTATCATGGCAATGGTGCCCACTTGAGAGGTGCCAGAACTGAGTTCCAGTGAATTTCAGCTGGAAAAAAGCCCATTTTCACACTCGCAATACGACTGAGCAGGTGCAGGGCATGTCCACATATTCACACACATGTGTATAAGGTACTGTGAGAGGCAAGCAGTATGCATGTGCATCTTAACATGTGCCAACCCAACTTGTGCAACCCTTCCTCCTCAGAAATGGGGGCAGAGAACAGAATGACCACACGAATGAGGCCTACATTGTTACTGAATGAGCATAGTGCTGGCATCATATGCATGTGTCAAGGGGCTGTGCCTGCTTCCCACCACCACCACCTGCATAGGATCATCGTCATCATCCAAAGCCGGTAAGTACATCTCACCCCGGGGAGCCAAGCTGATCTAGTTGATATACAGTGGTACCTCAGGTTACATACACTTCAGGTTACACACGCTTCAGGTTACAGACTTCGCTAACCCAGAAATAGTGCTTCAGGTTAAGAACTTTGCTTCAGGATGAGAACAGAAATCGGGCTCCAGCGGCGCAGCAGCAGCAGCAGCAGGAGGCCCCATTAGCTAAAGTGGTGCTTCAGGTTAAGAACAGTTTCAGGTTAAGTACAGACCTCCGGAATGAATTAAGTACTTAACCTGAGGTACCACTGTACAGTTGAACTTGGAACAGGAAATAGAACTAGGTGCACATTTCCATACAGCCACAAAATTCACGGCTTCACCTTGATCCAGTCGTTCTCTCTGCCTAATCTCCAGAGACTGATCTTCTATATAAAACACAACAAAACAAAACAGAAGAGGCCTGTGCTACTTCCAAAGGTGCTGCATGGTTGCTCCAGAGCACTGGAGTTTGTCGAGGACAAAGATGGGGAATCTGAAAAACTCCATTTGCTACTGGACTACAACTTCTGCCATCCTGGACCACTGGCCATGCTGGCTGGAACTGATAGGAGTTGGAGCTGAGAACAGCTGGAGGGCTACAGCTTTTCCATCCCTGTTCTTGGATGTGGGTGGGCAGGATGGAACCTGAGGTTGGTACCAGTGTGGTGTAGTGGTTAAGAGCGGTAGACTTGTAATCTGGTGAACCAGGTTCGCGTTTCCGCTCCTCCACATGCAGCTGCTGGGTGACCTTGGGCTAGTCACACTTCTCTGAAGTCTCTCAGCCTCACTCACCTCACAGAGTGTTTGTTTTGGGGGAGGAAGGGAAAGGCGATTGTTAGCCGCTTTGAGACTCCTTAGGGTGGTGATAAAGCAGGATATCAAATCCAAACCCTGCTGCTGCTGCTTCTTACTTTCCCAGCGGTTTAGAATGTGGTCCTTCTTCAGACGAGTGTGGTGGGAAAACATAGCAATACTAATACTGTTCAGAACTAAAATTCTGTGATGTATGTTAATGTCATGAAGTTTAAGTGGTAGGAACAGCTCAGGGTCATGACATAAGTTAGGTGTACTATCCAAAGCTTACCTCGTTCAAAGTCTTTATCTTGGATTAATCCCATTTGGGTCAATGGGACTTTTCCAAAGTAAGGATTTTAAAACTGAGACCTAAAGGTCCATTCCTGTAGATCGCTTACACCAGTTGATGGCTACCAATGGGGAGAGAGTATTGGCAGCAGGAAAAAAACCCATATAAACAGTGTACAGCTGGAAGGTTCAGAAGGACAATGGGATTGCGCCTGAAGTATTGGAAGCTTTTTGTGATAGCTTATATAACGGAGTGAAATTTCCTTTCCCTTCTTGAGCTTCATGTTTCCGTAATAAACCCCAGCATGTCACATCACCATTTCTCTCCACACTGGCAGCTGAATGCCTGAGCACCTTATGCACCAGTATCTAATGTACATCAATGCATATTAATAAAGTGATTCTGATCTTTGACTTGCCTGTAAAGTAGCAACTGTTTGTAAAGAATCAATTATGTGTTGACATTAGCAAGTGCAGAGCTGTAATGGATAGTGCAATTCCAGGAGTCAGAGAGGCCATCTGGGATCTTTGACCTTAACCTGAGGAGTAGAAGTCCTTCTCCTTGCTACCATATTAGTTGTTAGTTGATCACTACCTTGGGAGCCTGTTTTCTGACTCGTTTTTAAGCCCTATAGCAAAATCATCATCATAATCATCAAGTTCCATTAAAAAAAGCAGATGGAGGGGATAGGGACATACTGTAATGGCACTGTAAAGATGGTTTTTAATAAAGATGGTTTAATAACCGCCTCTTTCAGCGGGTCTGGGAAGGCTCCCTCACGGAGGGAAGCATTCACCACCCCACGAAGCCCATCGCCCAGTCCTTCCCGGCTAGCTTTTATAAGCCAGGATGGGCAAGGATCCAGGAGACAGGTGGTTGGTTTCACTCATCCAAGCAGCCTGTCCCCATCCTCGGAGGTAGCAGATTGGAATTGATCCCACTCAACTTGACTAGACAAAACTTTAGCACTCTCCCGCCCCGGCCCTGCTCCCATGGTGGAGTCTACTTCTTCCCGAATCTGAGCGATTTTATCTATCTGCAAAAAAACTTTGCAAAATCATTGCAGGAAAACATGTGGCCCGTGCTGGGCCCCGATGTTGCAGGTGGTTCTGCTAAATTGTGAACCACCTGAAAAAGTCTCCTGCTGCTGTTTTCTGCAGATACAATAGAGGCGGTGAAGAAATTCTTCTTCGCCGTCACTATCGCCACTTGGTAGGCTCGACGTTGAGCTCTAACCTGTGTCTGGTCAGATGCAGAATGAGTTATCCGCCACCGGCACTCTAGCCGTCTCAACGATTGTTTCATTGCCCTCAGATCCGTGGAAAACCACGGGGCTGTCCGGGCTCCATGCAATCGGAGAGGGCGTGAGCTAGTGTCGGAGAGGGTGTGAACTAGTGAGCTATTCTGTTTCAAGAGCTGCCACAAATGCAGGAAGCCCAAACTGGGATTTGCCAACAGCGCATCACAGTTGCCATGACACTGCTGCACTGCAGGAATATCATGTGACTCATTCAGGCAGTCAGCTGATCTACATACAGTAAGTGATCTAGCCATAAATTCAGTTGACCTACCGAAGCATCGTGCGGTTAAGCTGTGTAAACAGAGTGAGCAGAGGATAAGGGAAGTAAAAGCGGGACGTTGCACTGTGAAAGCTGCCTTGGGCCATGGAGAAATTCCAACCCCGACTGCCAGGCTATGAGGTTGATGCCAGAATGGCTGTAAATGGGCTCCCTTTCTGAGGCATCTTAAAGCACCACTTTCAAGTCAAGAGCTGAGGCTCCTGCAGCCATCTAGTGACAGAGCTTGTGCAGGCAATTATCACCACTACTAAGACTGAACCATGCATTAGAGTCATGTTCTTGTAGATATCATCATGATGAATGAAAAAAGATGAACACTTCATGGCTGCCAAAAACAAAAGCAATAGTTGTACTCTTCCCCCACCCCCATCTGTCTTCTTGTCCTGTCCAGTATTTCTTCAGTAGTTTTTCTTTCTCGCTCTGATTCGCCAGAAGCGGCTCCCTCGGCCTATAGAGCGAGATGAGCACCGCAACCCCAGAGTCGTCCGCGACTGGACCTAACGGTCAGGGATACCTTTACCTTTTTATGCTTTACATATGCATGTTTTTCTCCCAGACCTAAACCAATTCCTCCTGCCAACAAGTGCCTCGTCTTATAAACTGCCTTGATTTCTCCATACCTATTTTACTCTGATTTCCCATCCTCTGCTCTCTTGCTTTTCAGCTATTGTATAGGCTTGATTTGCTTCCTTTGTATATCTTTATCTCCATTGGGGAGGAGTCGTTAGATTAGGGCTGAACCAATTTTTTGTGGGCAAGGATTTTTTTGGTGTGCCAAGCTATTTTACCCGTTCACAACCATTCTTACTTTTGGTGCAAAATTTAAAACAGAGGGTAAGTTTCCTCCACTTTCTGATTATGTCTTCTGGCCAATCAGGGATCATATAGGCAGCATTATGATGCCATGGCACCACAAAACCAATTGATTTGGCTATGTGACAGCACACTGAAGTAAAATCAGAGTTAGGGCAACTCTTCCTGTTTTCACTCTGAAAGTGGGACTATTTACCTCAGTTGCTGAAAAGAGTATCATGTTTCACAAAAACAACTGTTAACCAGGTTTGTGGTTTGAGTCCACCCAGAGGCAGCTGTGAGCAATATTGTAGGGGTTGGACTATAGAACCCTCAAGGTCCCTTCCAACTCTACAATTCTATGATTCTATAAAAAATTGTATTTGGAATATCACCTCTTCCTCAGTTTGGGTCAATACTAAGTCATGTGAGTGAGTGAGTGAGTGAGTGAGTGAGTGAAAGAGAATATATCAGAGCAGTGGTAGTGGTGTTTTTCTTAATACTAGTAAATCTAGTAATAAAATCATATTTATTTTCAGGCAGTAATTTGGTGGGTGGGAAAGAAGTCATTGTATTTAATAAATTCTGTATTTTCATGCCTAGCAATACCACTATACCCTCAGCAAAGTATAGCCAGTGCATTGGCTTCTCATTTGCAACAGAGCTACGCCAGAGTGCACACAAAAGACTGCATTTGTCCAAAATAAAAGTGTTATTGTCATCCCCTGCCACCTCAAGCTATTCTTAGCAATAGATATTTTGAGATCACCAGAATACAGGATCTGAGTAGCTGCTTCTTGGAACTTGGGTCTTGCATGGTTGAGGTTTCATTACTTCTAGAATCATTCATTAGAAGTATAAATTACTTGCTACTCGGTAGCTGCCAAGAATAACTCACACATCATCTTCTGCCAAGCTCTAACATTGGCACTGGGCTCATGCCCTGTCAAAATAAGCTCAGTTCATGTAGTCAAGCTTTTGGCCAGCACTCAGTATGTTAATATTAGGCACTCATGCTAATGGCAGTGAAGGTCATAGGTGTGACAGTGTCATTTGGTACTAAAAAGGTAATGTGTGCTTTAATTAGCTAATACAGTATTGATAGTGACTGATTTGCCATTGCTATATTTGATCAGTATTGCTAATTTTAATTATCACTCCTCTTTTCCAGAGATGCCCACTTTTGGCTTTGTGTTTCATTACTCCCTACAGTTCGCTTGACTTACATGGCTCATGGCTTGGTATTCTTTCCTAATGAAATACCAATTGTAACCTCATTGTGATCCACAGCATTGGGTGATGGAAGTGCCTACACAATCTAGGGTAACATATTTCCATGTGCTCTGTGGTGTCCCTGAAAACAGGGTCCAGGCAGAAGACCAAGTTTGCCTCGCAACTACATTATCCACAAGCTCCACACTGTCATTCTTCCCATATGCAGCAACGGCAGATATTTATATGGGAGAAAGGGAAAGGGCACAATATCAGGCAGGAGTGGCTAATCTGGCCCCCACGCAATTTTTTTCTGACCCTCAGCCCTAATACTTTTGGTGACAGTAGCATCAACACACACACAGCTTTGGTGTGGGCAGAGTTGGGCTGATGATGTGAATCAGCCTCTTCCCATTCATCATCTCAACCATGTGATGAGCAGAGAGGGGGTGATGATCCCTTTCCTTGACCGATTTGCTCAGATCATTTGAGGAGCTCGGCTGTGTGCATGTGTGAGCAGGATGAGTGTGAGGTGGCCAAATTCACACCCACCAGTGCATGCAGCCCCATGCAGCTCCTGTCCAGTTCCCGGTGACACTAGTAGAGGAAGGGAAGCACAAAATGTTTTGCACTTCTTAACTATGTTGCTGCCTGCAGTCCACTGTCTTTGTCCTATAGCGCTTATCGTGAACTGTGGAGAGCCATACCACCCTTCCTTGGATAATCGCACCTTGGTTTGCACTGCTTGTTCATGCTACTGCGTACTAAAGAAATGGTACCAAGAATTGTTTTTAGGTATGAAAGTAACTTCACTACTAATATTAATTTACAAAGTGCTTCATGACTGGTCTTCTTCACCCTTGGAACACTGTGAGATATAATCTTGCTCTCTTCTTAGAGGTTGTGATGGCAAGATGACCCTTACCCACTGAATTAAGTTCATTAAAATAAATAAATACGCTTATAATCCTGCCTTTCTGCCATGGGGCTCTTAAAGAGGTCTCCATAGGGTTCTCAGGCACTGATTAGAATCAGACCCTGAGCAGCTCAGCTTCAACAAGGTTGCTGCAATCAGGCACCTTCAGACAGTGCCCTGGTCTGGGAGTTGAACTTTAACCCGTATTTGATCTATTTTTAGTTCACACAAAACAGGGAACAAAAAATGCTCAGTTAGTGGGTTAAATATATGTTGACTGAGCAAAAACTGGGAGCAAATTTTATCACTTGTGTAACCTCGCACTGCCATCTTGCTCCACGTTTACTAAACTCACCTCGCCAAAATGGTCCTGGGAGGCAGCCAGGTTACTAAAATATGGCTGTCCACGACAAGTAGAGACAAACTATGATACCATCAATTAATCTATGTGCACCTCAAGTTGCACATTTAACCTTCTCTACAGAAGATAGGACTAGGCAAGGGCTGGTGTGTGTGTGTGTGTGTGTGTGTGTGTGTGTGTGTTTAAAAAACATCCTAAGCTATAACAATCTAGTATTATTAAACATAGACAGACAGAAATAGTGCGGGAGGACTTAAGAATTTGTAATTTATTCATAAACTGCTAAGCCATCATAGCAAACTTTTTAAATGAAATCTGATAGTTCTTTAAATATTTACCAGCTTGTTGACCCATTTTCTCAGTTAATTAGGGATTGCATTAACAATGTACTGAACAGAGGCAGCTTTTAAAATTAAGCAGCCCAACTATTGTGCATTGCACAAAGTTTTTATTTTGTTCAATGAAGCTAGAGAAAGGATGCTCAATTGAAAACATCCCAATTCTTTAACAAAAAAGACACCTAATATATGACTAGATTAATCACTTTTCCTATGACTTTCTAGGAAGAACATTCATTTTGCAGTCTTCTCTGTTTCTGTAATAGCTTTTACTGACTTCAGCTGCACATATTTTCTTACCATGATTTCTGTGATAGCCTGCATTATTTTCCAGTGAAAAGTTTTGCAGTATTTGCTTCTAATGAAAATGAAAGAGTAATTCATCATACTTTCTCAACCTTTTTCAGTGCACTCGTTCATTTCCATCTTTAAGCTGAATCCCTTCATCTGAAACACATAATTGTGCAGCTGAAAATAATTCAGGGAAGATGTGGCCACACACCCTGTATGGCCTATTGCCAAAAGGGATTGAGAGATGTTTTAGTTGTTTGTTTCTTCCTGGTCATCTCATCACCTTTATTTTCCCTCACTATTTCCCTGTTATTAGCTGCTGCCTTGTACTTTATTTTGCATATATTTTGAGTTTTGAAGTCTTTTCAAAAATCTTTTTGCAGAGTGTTTCATATTGAGGATGAAAGGTGGGATATAACTGTTTCTAATAAATACATAGCAAGCTCTGTGAGAGGCATGCCCAGTGCATCCCATTCTATGACAATTTAATGGTCTCAACGACTATTTAAATCTATTTCAGGTTAAGCAGAATTTTTTTTTAAGATATGTGATTTTAAAGTGAGAGTTGCAACAATGTTGCAGTTCAGAGTGCTTCTCTTCAAGGCCAGCCAGCCATTCCCATTCCCAGGATACTCCATTAAATTTCCTGATTCCCTGGTCTTCTGTTCTCTTGCCCCACCTACTTCCACAGTCAGCCAGCATTGCATGGTTATTGAGCATGCCTTCCCTGGGGTCCCCCCCCTTAATAATGATAATTTTTTATATTTCTACATACTTTGGGATTCCCCAAAGCATACCTTTTGGGTATGCTTAGAGAAGGATTTGCACTCAGAGTAGTAAATAGCCGTTGCCAATTAACTCTGAACTTCAACTTGGTCTCAGACTAACCATTGCTCAGGCCTTCTTTAATCCAGCGCAACCTGAATCCGAAGAAAGTTTTTCCAGTCAAAGTGCTAAAAGGCTGTAAAAGTTGTAATAGGGCCATCCATTGGGTTTCCTGAGTTGACCCGAGGTCTTTGTTCCAATTGTTCCAATAGCTGAACTGACCCAATGTAGAAAACAAAGCAACTGCCAGCCGTGAGGATTAAACAAGCCAGCACATCAAGGTGCAAATGGCTAGAAGAAGCTTTCTCTCCATTTACACCTGATGAGCAGCCATGTTCCTCTGCCAAAAGGTGGCATTTACTGTGTCTTTGTTTCCTTCCTGGAGATCAATTCACAATGCAGCCAGTCAGTGTTTGCATCCCATGGATCAATTTTCTTAACTGCCAGTGTTGCTCTGTTTTGTTTTTCTAAAGAGGAAAGTTACCTCAAGTGGCAAAGATTTGACTGATTTGAGAAATCTCACACACCAAACCAAAGGCATCGCAGCCTAAGTGAGAAGAGGGCAAAGGGCTTCTGTTTACTTGAAAAGAAGAACCGCAAGAGCAGAAACTTTTTCTGCAGAGACGAACTAGGAGGTGACACTCAGTGGCAGAGGAAGGATTTCTATTTCTGGCACTACCTTAAGGCAACAAAGGAAACATAATAGCAACAATAGTCCAATTTAATGAGCAGGTATGCAATATTAATTGCATTAAGAGTTACACTTTGAACAAAACATACCTTTATGTTTTCATATCTGACTGTAAGAACATCTGCATAATATCTGCAAAGTAGCTAGATACATCTGCATTGCAACAAAATCATGCCTACACAAAATAGGTTTGCTGAGATGGTTATATACAATTGCTCCGCTTCCTGTGCTATTATTTTCTACTGCAGGCCTACAGATGAAGCTATCTGACATCTAATAGGAAGAACAACCACCATCCTAGAGAACAGCTTTTTTCCCACTGCCTGATGGGCTGATCCAGTTGTATTCTGCCTGTACCAGAACAAAGCTGTTCTCTCGTATCTTTCTGAAATGCATCATCTCCCCATTCTCCTGAAGTGCCATGGCATTATTTTCTGGCTCACTAAAGGACACTTCCGTTCGCTTGTGACAATACTGGGAATGGATGCAGCGCAGACCAACAGCCAGCACCATGCTGAGGACAGCAGAGCATCCAAGGAGAACACCCAGCTGAGCTACTACAAGCTGGGACTCCTTGTGTGGCTTTCCTCCTCCTCCTCCAGAAACAGTAGCTTTGGGTGTGGCTCTTGTTACCTTCAGGAGTGTGTTCCCAGGGATATCCTTTCGGCCCTTTCCCTCCTGCTCATGTGATGTAAGTTCAGCCTGGGGCAGGAAGTTTGCTGGAACTTCCCACGTTGCTGCTTGTTTCTCTGCCATCTTCCTTGAAGCGCCTGATAAACTCTGATAGACACTCGTGTCCTCTTCACTACCTAAATGCTCTGATATTGTTTCCATGCCTGGAAGGCGTAGAGGATCCTGGAAGTGGACCAGCGGTGAAGCTGTAACGGGTAGCACAGACTTGCTAAGGCCTGGGTTAGGTGTTGTAGAAACCCCCTTAAAAACAAAGAGATGAAGTGCACATGGGATGTGACAGCCATTATCTTGGCTGAGATATACAGTCACCTTTTAGTTGTTCAGTTAGATCAAAACTATCATCGTTAGCCTACTAGAATCATCACACTTCTCACAGATAACTGTTCTCATCATAATAGCACATCACTTCTTAAGAGCTCTTAAAATGATCCTAGAACAGTATTGAATCAGACCAATGGGAGGGGATGAGGAAGAAGATAGGTAACCATTGATTAGCATTCAGAATTCTCATTTTAGAAAGGCTTCTTAGCTTGCAGAGATAGGAGCAGGTTTATGCTGTGTGACCTTCAGAGATGAGCATGTTGTTTTCTTACTGTGATGCCGTTATATGCTTTGGTGATGGGCTTGGCGTTTGGGTAAAGGAATGTTACAGAACTATTTTGTTTACCCCACTGGTCTGTGCTCGCTCAAAAAATGTCTGATAGGTTTTATAGACAGAGGAGAATAAAGTTAGCCTGTTGCACAATCAAATGCTCCTATCAGATGTCAAGGAGATAAAGAACTATACAACATTTAGAAGGCATCTGGCGGCAACCTTGTATAGGGAAGGATTTAATGTATTATTATGCTTTTATATTTGTTGGAAATCCTACTCCAGTGGCTGGGGCAACCCAGTCAGATGGGGGCAGTACAATTATTTTATTTTTATTATTATTATTCATCTAGGTTAGACTCCACCAGGAGCTTTCTTGGCCACTGCCAGTTAAGGAAAATGGAAATGCGAGAGCCAATATGGTAGAGAAGAGCAAAACTATGGAAATGCATGTTCCATATGTGCATTTCTCACTAAGTGCAATTCTCACTAAGTAATAAAGTTCATTGGGTGATCTTTGGGCAAGTCACCATCTCTCAGCCTATCCTATTCTATGAAGTAAGCATCTGCCTGTTCTTTTATGCCTTCTGACAGTCTCTGTCTTATCCCTACTATTCATGCGGTAGTTACTACCCTCTCCTTGACACTGCTGCCATGTCTCTTCCCTATGAACTGTAATGCCTCTGAGCAGAATCTGTATCACTTCTGTGTTCTGCTCAGTGCCTAATATCATGAGCAAAAGAAAACACTGAATAGCAGGACTAGGAAAGCTACTACTACTGAGAATCGTAGTAGTTGAAAGAGCATATCCGTATGCTGTATCTATGGCCCAAGGGTTAATTGTAAGACATGTCTATCCTCTTTCAGCAGAGCTGTTTACAGCCAGCTGTCTCCTGTCTATACAACTCCAGGAATAATTGGCATCAAAATGAACACTTAGAACACAATAGCTTTGAATGTCTGCATAAAAAGGTACCACAAACCCAGTGGGACCCTCTTCCAAGAGTTTACTTTAACTTAGTATTTAAGATTTCAGAGCGTCTACTGCCCTCTAACTGGAGTAAGCGAGAACAGCACTAATGCCTCTGTATATACGTGAGCTACATCAAAATCCACTGACTGGAAAATCAGACATTGACTATTTAGCCTTCTTTCCAGGACCTGCCATCATGAGTACTGCAGCCCTGTAGCACTGTGCTCATTTAGTCTTTCTGAATGTACTTCAGATTCTCACTAAATTCAGACACTTTAAGGGGAGAGAAACTCACCAAATGCACTTCTTTGCTCGGCCTGTTTTCTCTGTGGTCTACACACCATGCCTGTGTCTGAAGCCAGTAATAGTGGGGAGAGAATTATTTGCTTCAGAATCCGACGAATCTTAAAGCTAACTAGGTCACAACTAATTAAGCACATCAGTTTTGGCAATCTGTGCTTATCAAGAGACACGAAATGACCTCAGATGCAGTCTACGTGTGCCAGACATTCCAGACAGGATTCCGGAAGGCTAAAATCAAGCTTTTGTTGGATCCTCTGTATTTGTAGACTGGGGGCAAGTTTTCAAGTCACAAAGAATTCTTCCTCACTCAAGTAAAAACCAGAGTTTCTACATGCAAAAGACTTCTGCCCCATTACCAGCAGGCCGACCCTCTGATGAACCAAATGTTCTGCAAACAAACAACACATTCCCTACAAGGTCTGTTCAGCCTCGTGTGAGTATGGGACCAAGCCTATGACTTTCCCATCACAAAGCAAACAAAGCAGAAGTGTGTCCATTATACTTTTGAGTTCAACCCTTCAAGGACAATTTGTTCTCCATATACATGGTTGGGGGTGGGAATACAGTTACAGATTTGTTTTCAGTCCCACATTGTTATACTCTTACGATTTCAATGCAGATTAAATAATGAGACAAGTTCTCATTGCATTCAGTGGCACTGTGATTCTCTGACTAGCAGGCCTTACAAAGCAGCAGGAAAATGGTCTCTGGTGCATTTGAATTTGTGTCCGAGGAGAGACTCTAAATTTTATCATTAGTAGGGTTTAGCTATGTGTTGGGTCACTGCAATAGCTCTTACTTATTTGCACAACTCTGTGAGATTAGAGTGTGGTACAAGTTTAAACAAATACATCTCACTTTTATCGTATTAGGCTTCTGTCAGAAAGACACAATGCTGAAGCAGAACAGTAACAATGTACTACCAAAGATCTTTCTTGAAAACAAATCAAATGCCATCCTTTCAGTGCTTACCTCCATGCCTTTTTTACATGTAGAGCAAAGCTGTGATATGGGAAAGCTTGAAGTATTTTCTCTCCTGAAATGTTGGGGAGCAAAGGGTAAATTAATTACATTTCATTCAGCTTGTATTCTGCACGCATGTTCCTAACTGTCATAGGGAAATTCCTCCCAAAGCTTACTCAGAACTCTGGTTGGGATGCTTTAATTGTATGGTATGTCACATATACGAACCCCACATAGGAGGCTGCTTACACAGAGCCAGACTACTGGTCTATCTAGCTCAGCATTGTCTACATGGACAGGTAGCACATCTCCAGGGTTTTAGGCAGAGGTCCTTCGCAGACTTACATGGAGATGCTGCAAGCTAGCTACTCTACCACTGAGCCACAGCCCATATGTGCCACAGAATCAGATCTGTTTCGTATAAGATAGGCACTATATGAAGGTCATTTGAAATCATACGCTCAGGTGAGCTCTGGAGCTGAAAACCAATGACAAGGAATGGGCTAGTGCCCAACACTGTGAGCACTGGGACTTCCATTTTCCCCCTCTCCACTGTAGCCCCCTGCACAACCTCCAGAATCAGCTCCAGAGAGGCAACCCAAGAGAGATTTGGAGGATGCATAGGGGACAGAAGGAAAAGGGGAAAAGAAAAATTCCCTTTGCACAAGTGGAAGTCAATTCTGCACACACAATGGTGACACTAGATACAAGCCGCAGAGACAATCTCTCCAGAGACTGTCTCTCTCCATTAGCATCTTATTTTGCTACTGGACAGCTATCATTCCAGGTAACTTTCAAATGGCAGCCATTTTGCATTTAGCTGGTCTTGGTCCTCCAGAATGCCTACACCTGGCAGTGTTTGAAAGCTCTGCTGTTGTTATTTTACAATTCTTTACACACTTAAAATGAAATACAAACGTGTAAGAGAGAGAGAGAGATGCAGCACTCACAATCTTTTAAGACTCTGCCATGTTTTGGCAAATCCAATATTCATAAATATTAGTGCAATAAGTGTTATGTGCAGCATGACATGTAATGCTCACACAGTACCTGTTGTACATGCTGTGGCTGGAGGAATGATGTTGTGCTATGAAGCCGAGATCCTGGAACTGAAGTGATGGCTCCAGTGTGAGATCACCAACTGTGCCACTTCCAATAGCTTGTCTTTCTCTACTGCGACTGATGGCATGTGAAGTGACCAAGTCTGCAAGGGATTCAGACAGAGCATTTCCATTGTCAGGAGGCTCAGAGACTTGTCGTCCACTGTAAGATGGATCCAAAATCAATGTGGCTGCAAGCCGAGTCAGACTAGTATGTGTAAATTTTGGAAACTGAGTTAAGATGATGTCAGGAGTGGAACTTTCTGGGGTTAAGCACAAAGCAAAACATTAAAAAATATAATACTGTTGGCAGACATTTCTTAAAATATTGAACATGCTTATCTTATGTATATATTTCTTATTTGTTAAGATGACATAACTGGAGTACTGGATTGGACACATCTAAACTGTTAGATGCTTCTGTTTCCAATAGTAGCCAGATAGGTGCCTCTGGAGAACCTCACAAGAAGGGAATGATCATGACATTCAAATCATTACAATCAGTAAGGCAAATACTTTCACATTCATTAGCCCACATTACATTCTGGGAACACAGCATGCTGTCTTTTATTGCCACTTCAGTAGTCCACCTCACTCAGTACTGTCTAACTTTATACACCAAGTGGCAGCAGCTCTCCAGGATTTCAGACAGGAGTCTTTCCAAGATCTATATGGAGAAGCTGGGTAATGAAAACAGGACCTTTTCATGCAATGTATGCGGTGTTTATTAAGACTTTCTATTCCCAATGACAATATAAAAGAAGAGAAGAAGAAGAGGAGTTTGGATTTGATATCCCACCTTTCACTCCCTTTAAGGAGTCTCAAAGCGGCTAACATTCTCCTTTCCCTTCCTCCCCCACAACAAACACTCTGTGAGGTGAGTGGGGCTGAGAGACTTCAGAGAAGTGTGACTGGCCCAAGGTCACCCAGCAGCTGCATGTGGAGGAGCGGAGACGCGAACCCGGTTCCCCAGATTACGAGACTACCGCTCTTAACCACTACACCACACTGGCTTATAATAAAAGTTAGAAGAAAACCTTACAGCTTTGGAAAAACAAGTGTCATCTTTTGGCTTGTACGTATATTCTGTTTTCAATCAGATAAGCAGGAAGATAAGGAAGTTAGAAGAAAGAAATAGAAGAGAAACAGGAGATGGGAAAGAGGAATGATGGAGTAAGTTTGTCCAAAATAGAAGCTTTGCACTAATATAATTCCTAATACTTCTAAGTAATATAAGATAATAGAAGCATGAAATAGCATAGACCTATAGAAAGGTTCCACTTTGGGGGGGGGGAGGATGTCGGATACAAACATACCTTTCCCTGCAGCAAATGCTCCTTTTAGATCAGTAGACTTTTGAAGAGGTGTTGGCTTTATTACACTGGGGGCTACATTACTTTCAGCTGTGGTTCTGTTCTGTGTTTGTTGAGACACAGTGGAAGATTCAATCCTTGCCCAATAAACAAAGTACGACTGGACGACTGATAAACTGTTTTTAAAAAAGTGTTTGAAGCAAGGCTTTAGTCATTCTGTACCATAAATAAATCATCAGAACATTTGGTAAATCAAAGGGAATTTTTTAAAATCTACAAACAGAATTAGCCTAAAAAACATTAAAGGATTAGACCATAACACTTTTCTGTTTTGAAATGACAACAAATAACCAGCTGAAACCTTAGTGAACGGGGTTTTAAATAAAATCACAATTAGAGCTAATCAAAACACATGGGGGGGGGAGTTACTTTTAATTTAATCAGCTTTTTAAAAATTAATTTTACATTTGACAAAAATAGCGCCATAGTCAAGAAGGGGAAGAAAACTGAATGTCATTAAAAAAAAGAGAGAGACCAAGTCATAAGTGTAGCCAGAATTTTTGTTGAGGGAGGGTAGCCAAAGTTGTTGAGTTTTTAAAAGAACATAAAATGTTGATCAGACAAAGACAAAGGCCTGGTCAAATAGAAACGTATACTGGTTAAAGACATATTTTTAATAGATGGAACTTGTCTTAGCACTGAAGTGTCACACTGGGAAACATAAAAATGTAATCTCTTTCCACAACAGCCTCATGAATGCCCTCAAAAGTTGGCTTTAGTTTCTCTAGGCAGGTAGAGCTAGCTGTGTGAGGAAAAAATGTACTGCTCAATTCTAAAAATGTTTACTTAAAAGGACTTGTGCCCAGTGTTTAGTAAATGTGCCCTAAGGCTAGAATCCAAACCTATACTGCCCTGTTTGGCTGGGCAGTTACTAACTAGCATTTAGGATGCTTATGAAATCTGCCTGTGTTGGACGCCTTCCAAAATGTTGAGGTTTCACTTTACCAGAGAGAGCAGAGCTGATCAATGTTGGAAATCCATTTATATACAGTTTAAAGGTTTAAAAAGAGAAAGCATAAAAATGATGCTTTGCCACTCTGTCTGACTTTAAATATCTGACTTAAATCCTCAGGAGTACAACTGTAAACCTGTGCAAAGAGAAGAAATAAAACGTTTTCTCTTATTTCCCCTTTCAGCATACACTCCTGCAGGAAAGATTTTTTTAAAATAATAGTTAATAAATTGTTTTGGGTAGGTTTTTATAGAAAAAAAATTAAACTCTTTTTTAAAAAGCCTTCCGGAAGGAAAAAGAAAAACAGAAAGTAATTGTGTAGGGAAATGGGTTGTAGTTTCTACAAGTGGAATTCCTACTGGACTACAAACAGAGTGGAACTCAAAGGATATTGAAATGGTGGAACAATAATGGAGCAGACCTGGTTCAAGTTCTCTTATAGTGACAATTATGTTTCTGAGCTTAGAATCAATATCATGCTACCATTCCTCAGTAAATTTTGCAAAGAGCCAGCTAGCTAGCACCCATGGATTCTTCCACTAGAAGATTTCCAATCTGTTAACCATCAAGCAGACCAGACCTTCAATCTTAACAATCCAAAATTTCTTACAAGAACCTGATGTCTCCTATGGGCTGATCGGGTGCTTTCCACACGAACGACAGGTTTCTCTTCAGGGACTTGTCTGAATGGGTGACGGTGTCGCCATCTTCAAAACAAGTCAGCAGTTTGGAGCCAGGAGGAATGTAAACAAAAGTGCCAGCAATTTGATCGTTTGATACCCTGCGAGCTTGAAGCATAAAGCCCATGAAATCACGCGTGCTCCTGACGGTGACTGGGGACAAAGTGGAAGTTACACAATAACATAAGCCCTTGGAAATGCATTTTAATATTTGCGTTGTGAAATTTGCATCTACATTCCATGTTAGGAAGTGTGCTTGGCAATGCCAAGTTGTTGGAATTTTAGATATTTTTAAATAAATGTTGCCCTTGGTAATTTATTAAGCACAGCCAATATTAGCATTAGGGTCCCAGGGGGCTAGGGCGGGGAGAGATACACCTAAAATAAGCCTTGCCATACTGACCTCCACTGATTACTGTCAACATTCTGGTCTCATCATGATGAGATCCAAATCTCATAAAGCAGAGAGGGGAACCTGTGGCTCTCCACATGCTGATGGATTCCAACTCTTATCAGTCTCAGCCAGGAATGATAGGAGTTGTAGTCCAACCAGATCTGAAGAGTATATGCACATACAGTTTTATGCGCACAGAACCCACTGCCAGAAGTTGTGCAAATGTGTTGACACCAGGGGGCAGGAACAGCAACTAAGACGGTGTCAAAGTGGGGCCAGCAAACACAGTCCTATCCCCCCCCCCTTCACAGGTTAACTGTACACATGAAGGATGAGGGGTGGGGTATTTCTAGCCTGTGAAAGTGAAGCTTTCTTTGCCATAACAGAAGGGAGTCACTAGAGCTTCCATAGCAGGAGGCTAAGTCATCTCCTTTGATGAGAGCCAACTGTAACTGGCAGTGATCCATGAACTGTGTATGAAAAACACGGGTGTTTTATTCCAAGCAATGTCACATGCAAGCTACTCCTTCTGTAATATACATGAGCATAACTGCATTTCGATTTCTGTTTACACACAGTTACACCCAACACACATTAATTATCACATATAAAGCAAGTTTCATTTTAAGTAATATATCTTCCCAACATACCTGTAAAGTGCTCGTTGTGTGAGCCACATAAGTATTTTCAAAACTGCCCTGACTATTTTAATTAGTGTTTCAAATTTAATCTTGCTGTTTCATCTGCTTACTGCTTGTTATTTGTTCTTCTGTTCATTCAATCAGTTTTGTCCTCCTGCATTTGGAGAGCAACTGGGACTTTGGCAAATGCATGCCATCTTAAGCAGCAAAGAGCAACTGAGAAGGGATTCGGTGCTTTGAACCTTTTTCAGCCTGAGGGCTGTATTGCCCAATGGGCAAACTTCCAGCTGCCACAGTGATAGGTGGGACATAAAGCAAAAGTGGGCAGAACAAGGAATTTTACCTTTGTACAGTAGGTTAGTTGTGACACACACTCACATACCACTCTCCATGCACCATCCAGGCAAGCAAAAAGCATTATCAGTTTCAATGACACATTCCAGCCAGGCTAAACCACCAGAGGCTCATGCAAAGCAGCAACACTGAAGAGTGTTGCCTGGGGAGAAGGAGTGTTGCTGGGAAGAGTTCCAAGAGCTGTATAGAAAGGCCTAAAAGGTTACATGTGGCTCCCAAGGCTGAGGTTCCCGCTCCTGATCTACGGCCTCTAACTGAATACATCCCTCTAGCTTTCCCCCAAAACATCATAATTAGCTGTGACTCCTTACCTGGAACCTTGTCACCTGGAAAAAAGGATATATTGGTATGGATGGTAATATAGTTATTCTGTGGGTTCTGGAGGTGAGCTCTGATATGTTTGGGCCTCATATCAGTACATGCCGAAAGACTGGCCCCATGGGAGAATGCTGCGGTGTATGAAACTAAACACAGGATTGTCAATGCCCACACAACAAAAAGTGCCTGAACTTTCATCTCTTCCTCTACCTGTCAGGAAAAGACGTTGGAAGTTATTGCAGTGCTTTTCAATCAATTTTTTAAAGTACAATTTGTATGAAGCTACACCAGTGACACCTTTGAATTTCAGATGAAACTGTCAATTTCACAAGCTTTGGACTGTGAGAAAGGAGGTTTTCAGTGGGGTAACTATCAGAAACATCGATGGACCTTTCCCAATGTTTAGCACGCGGGGAATGGATAGCAGCTACTTGATTCCACACACAGTTCAGAGGACACTGCTGCAGCTAACACATCCTTGAAGGGCAGTTGGCATTTCCCCCCAGCATTCAAACCCAATACTGAGTAATTGGAAGACAACACAGCCATTGAAACTGCAAGTACAATGTGGGATGAGAAAGCATAAGTTGGGAAGGGTTTAGTGGTAGGAGCACATGCTTTTCATTCAGAAGATCCCAGGTATTTCCATTTTAATCGATCAACCTAGGTGAACAAATGCTCTGAGCTGGTATAAAGCAACTTCCTCTGTGCGTGTTACACATACCTATTTAATTTGTATACTACTTTTGCAAATATTTCCCAAAGCAGCCTATGACCATATACAAAATTCATATCACTTATTGGCTGGTCCTTATGGCATCTGTAGTGAACAGGGACACAAGTACTTAATGATGCCCACCATGTTGATGCCATTTTATTTTCTAAAATACTTTTTAGAGGCGTCTTTAAAAGTTGAGAATTCACAACTGTCCCAATATAGCCATTTAAATATAGCATTTCAAACCCAACATTTTATCAGTTCTCCGATTTCCCCCACTTTCACTTTACCTCTGTGTGCTCCTCCTGATCAGCGGTGGAACACACAACCCTACTGACTTAGAAATATACCAAAGAAGAATAGGAAAAAGGGAGGTGCTCATATTTTTAAAAACCCATGCTGAATATATTCATGTTCTTGGAAATAAATCCTTCAAAAGTATAAATATACATGTAATTATTAAAGGCAGCTTTGCTTGAATACTGTAGAGCAGCAATATAGAGCTATGGCAGGAAAAGTCCAAGGAGCAGAAGGTCCTGTCCAAGTCAGGCCTAGGTCTCATGGTCACTTCTCTTGGGGTACAGTGCCAAGAGTGTTACCACTCCATATGTGGTCAGTGAAGTTTAAAGGCCTCGTGTCATACTTGACTCCAAAATTTCCTTTAATTATTCATACTTTCCAAAACAAAACAAAAGCCCAGCTTTTCTGGAAGGTGAGTTAAGATTGGAGAGAATGAAGGGTGGTGAAGCAAACATGCAAGAGTAGAAAAATAATTTCCATCTGCACTGCAGATCCATCATCCAATCTCCTCCTGCCACCTATTCCTTCCCCTTCTATTTGTGTCTGCCTATCAGCAAAATCAGTTCTCCATTAAAGAGTTATCCATTAGCTGATCCCATAAGCTTCTATAGTCATCTCTTCTATCCTACCAGACCATATCAGCCATTTGGCATTCAAATTAGTGTCCTAAAACACCTTAAGCTCATACACAAGAATGGGTCTATGCAGAGTTCAGCTTATATAGATTATCCTACCACCTTTAAATGTGCCTGATCAGATGCTATTAAATATTGAACTACTTATTCTGAGCCAATGTTTAGCTCAATTCTTTTCCTCCACAGTGATTTCTGAAACCGTTTACAGACTGAAGACAACACAAGGCCATATAAAGGAATCCCTTTTTGAAAACCCAGCCCTTGAATTAGCACAGGTTTTGAACAAATTGAGTCACACACACTCCCATCTTCCAATATAATCCCTGCTACAGCCATTTTTGTAAGTAGTTAAATATATACACGTTATTTTTCCTGTGCAATAGGATATTTCCCCCATATCCCAAATTTGCTTTTAGCCCTATAAAATCTCCTCTTAGTATTCAACACCTTAGTTGCATTAACATTGCCAGTTTCTTACCTTGGGACACATGTTCCTTCAGACACTCAGCAATTTTCTCCTTCAGCCTGCCAGGCAAACATCCTTTAAGGAAAAAAGTTCTTTACCCTCTCTACTAATGAGAAGAGCAACAGCTGTTACTGCTAATCCTTAATACCTACAGGAACTCTGTCAGTGCTCAAATCCAGTTTTAATCATGTTAGTTTTCTTCACACTCTACTCATCCACTTAAAAAGAAACACAGCAACACCAAGTTTCCACAGTGAAAACAAAACCTGGGCTACCATATTATACACATTTACTTGGAAGAAAATCTCAAATAAACTTAAAAGTGAACATAGGATGAGAGCCATTAAAAAGACTGTGGGGAATAATCTAGTGTTTCAGGTACATTAAAGTCTGGCCTCTTTCTCTCGCCTCCCCACACAAGTGTAGCACAAAGAAAGATGTGCTTTCTTTTGTGCACTCAAGGATATACACTGAGTATGTTGCCTTTCAGATTTGTATGGGAATAACTTGAGAGCAAAAATAATATGGAAGGAATGAGACCTAGACACGTCTATTTCACTGTATTAAAACATAAATGTTTTGACTTCAACGTTTTAAAATGCAGTTATACAAAGGGGAAAGGTCCTGATCCTTAAAGCTCCCTATTCTCTACCCTCACTTTGGCTGATGTCATTGATTCTGGCCAAGAATATAGGTCATGGCCACAAAATCCCATTCTTAGCGTGAAGAAAGGCTGCAAGTCTTAACTGAAGTTTCAAAACAGGTGTTCCAAACACTAGAGCATGAGCAGCATAGCATTTATTTATACCATATTCCTTGACAACAGCCTCAGTGAAGAAGAACCAATACTGAGAATAAAGTCTGAAAACAACTTAAGCTTGTGTGTGTGTGTGTACACACAGAGACACACATGCACAAAATACCGTATTTTTTGCTCTATAAGACTCACTTTTTCCCTCCTAAAAAGTAAGGGGAAATGTGTGTGCGGCTATCCCAGAAGCCAGAACAGCAAGAGGGATTGCTGCTTTCACTGCGCAGTGATCCCTCTTGCTGTTCTGGCTTCTGAGATTCAGAATATTTTTTTTCTTGTTTTCCTCCTCCAAAAACTAGGTGCGTCTTGTGGTCTGGTGCGTCTTATAGAGCAAAAAATACGGTATATACTAAAATATTTGTAACCTCCCTTTCACATGTTTTAGGTCTGTGGGCACATCTGGATGTTTGAGCAAGTTCCATGGGTACCACCACCCTGGTCACTTCTGCCCCCCAATCCAAAGAAAGGAAGTGCATGCACATCTTACTTCCAAGGGATCTAGGTAGAATTAACCTGAACCTAGAAAAGCACATGGGGCTGAAACAGGAAGGAAGAGTGCCATTCTTCCAACTTCCTCCTTCAGCTGTATGTACTTTTCGGGGGGGGGAGTAAACTACCATTACCCCATCATGACCAAGGTGGCAGTTCAGTGAAGCATTCAGAGGCTTTGTGGGCACTAGAGAAAGGCTTCAGGGGCACCATTGTGCCCCTGGATGCAACACTAACGACCTCTGCCCCATGAACACTAATAAGCAACATTAAACAGAGCAGCAGAAATAAAACCAAAAGCACTCAGCAGAGCCAATCAGAAATCCTCTGGAAAGTGGACACTTTGGCCTGGCAAATATTTAAAATCAAGAGGGAAGGGGCAAGGTAATTTCCCCAAGAAAAGTCCCACAGCTTCAATATCCCTGCAGAAACAACCCTGCTCTGCATATTATCCAGTAGTTGGGGGCATATGTAGCAGATTTAAAATTAACAGCTTTAAAATTTGAATACTGAAAAACTCAAGTGGAAGGCTGTTCTACTTATGTCTCTTTAGGTTTTAAAATCTTCATCAAGCAGAGTAAAAACTAGAACTCTTGCTTTGGGGAAGGATTGTTAGTTCTGCTGTAGACGCATTCTTGGAAGTTTAAAAATTGCTAATTGTCATTATCCTCATTAATTGCTCCTTTCAGGAAAGCCTAAGTAGGTGATGGCAAATTTTATCACTAGTGGTATTCATTAAAATTGCTAGAGCTATAGATATTTTGCACAGAAATCCCGTACTTCTATCATTGATCAGTTGTACTTTCCTACCTAAGGGAGGAATTTGTTTGGACTCAGTCTGGGCATTTTAAAGCAGTTGCTACATGATAATGTTCAACTAGCCTTGAGCAGACACTTCAGAAAATAAGGGGCAACTTATAGCAAGTCCACTCAGAAGCCTTAGCTCAGTGGAACTTAACTCTCAGGTGAGTATAGAATTGCAGTTTTAGTATCAAAAAAGGTATCAAACAATTTTTTATATATATACTAATATTGGGCAAATAAGCTTCATCTTTATAATAGGAAAGTACTGTGACTTAAATATTCTTGATATGTTACAGATCAGCAGAATACAGACTGAGTTAGCTTTAGACTTTTCAAGATCCCAACAGAAGATAGCAACTTTCTTTTCATTTCCTGCAGGCCTTGATCCACACCAAGAGTTGCTCACTGTGTAAAAGGCCCTAAGGCAAATAGTGAAGGTTCAGCCAAATCGCCCTCAATATAAAGGTGGGATTAACTGTGTGATCCTTTACACCCAGATATTAAGCCCTAAGGAGTTCAATGGTGCTTAGTAAAGAAGGTAAAGGGAGCCCTGACCATTAGGTCCAGTCGTGGCCGACTCTGGAGTTGCGGTGCTCATCTCACTTTATTGGCCAAGGGAGCCGGCGTAAAGCTTCTGGGTCATGTGGTCAGCATGACTAAGCCGCTTCTGGCGAACCAGAGCAGCACACGGAAACACCGTTTACCTTCCCGCTGGAGCGGTACCTATTTATCTACTTGCACTTTGATGTGCTTTCGAACTGCTAGGTCGGCAAGAGCCAGGACTGAGCAACGGGAGCTCACCCCGTCGTGAGGATTCGAACCGCCGACCTTCTGATCGGCAAGTGCTAGGCTCTGTGGTTTAACCCACAGCGCCACCCACAGCGCTTACTCACAGCCAAATGTCTATTTCAATCACTTTTCTCCTTAACAGCAATTAAGTTAAGTCTTCATCCCTGTCGCTAAGCCATTTTGCCTTCCTGGATAGCCATGATTTAATGTTCAGCTACATAATAAAGAACATACAGACATAGCACAATTGCAATGACTCCCAGTCATGCTGCTCTGTTTACATTGCAATGACACAAGGGGATGGCCAGTTATTATCTTGGGCTATGCATGCAATGCAGTGCATGTGTATGCATATATTTGAATTAGGGCTCTTAAATAAAGCTGCTCTTTAGAGTTGTGACAGGGTTAAATAACTGCGGGTAAGATATTATATAATAGTGGATATACTTACAATAAACATTCCATAAATACACTGTTTTAGATGTTTGGAAACAAAATACTTTAGCTACTTCCAGCAACCATTTTGGAAGATGAAGGGATCCAGTGACCTTGCCACCTGTAACCTTTTTCCAAAACAAGTTAAAAATTACATAGTAAACCTGAAGGAACATCCATTTTAAAAAGAAGCCATTAATAGAAAACCATGCCTGTGATTTGTATTTACATGGCAGTCCTTTCTCAAGCCCTTGTCAAGGAGTTATAAATTATTGAAACATGCTATAAAATTGTGTTCTCTTTGTATGCTGCACAGAGCCATGTGAAATGTGAATAAGTTAACAATTATTAATTCCTTCCCTTCAAGTGCTGCTATTCCCTCCTTGTACCAAAGGTCTTCTGTTATTTGAGGAGATGGAACAATGTTGTATTCACATGATTGTTAATGCTTATTCATGCACAACTCAAAGAAAGGTATGTGCTGATTTTTAAAGGCAGCTTTAAGTTGTTCAGAGAACAGTATAATGTACAAGGCACCCCATGCTGGGTTGTTTTATAACTTTTCATCAAAACCTTCTCAACTTTATACTATGGGACTTGTTTTAGTTTAGCTTCACATACAGTACAATCCTGTACATGCCTCTTCAGAGATGCCCCTTTAAGGTAGGTCCCAGCTGAGTTCAATGGGACTTGTTCCCCAATAAGCTGAACATAGAATTACACCCTAAACATATTTTGAACGGGAGTAAGAATCCTTTGTACGCACATCAATGGCTATTTCAGACTAAGGAAACATTTTGTTTGCAGAAACTGAGTTTTAACTTAGATTGCAAAACACAAGGTTTGTAATTCTTTCCCCCTATTCTCCCATTTCCTTGGGTTAAAAAGTCAGCCATCTAGTTGAACATTTTTGGGAACAAATGCATGAAAGAAAGTGTGTGGCCTAAAGAATGGTTAAGGGATATGCAATGGAACTTTGACCACAGCAGACTACACAGACCTTCCCCTATTTTTGTTGTAGCCCACCCTACCAATTTTTTTATTAGTTTCTTAGCTTTCATGTTTCAAGGCTGACTCTGCTTTAAAAATAAAAAAAAGAATAGTCTTTGGATTCTGCTCAAGCTGCTGGATTTTATATTACATGTCAGATCCTGCACTCTGTGCAGCCACACAGATTTATGAGCCTCCCAGTGTGCTGAGGGGGGGAGAAAGAAGAAAAAGTTAACGGCAATCAGGAGAGCAAAGGGTTGCCAGGATTTGGAGGGCTGGCACATAAACAGAAGCTTCTCACTTGCAGTGCTTACTTGTAGCTGGCACAATGCTACCCCTGGATTTTTCTTCCATCCTGTTCCTATTGTTGAATTGTCACTGTTACACCCACTATTTAAGATTTTTGTTGGTTCACTTCAGACTGCAACTGAAGATTTTACCGTGTGACTAGTTAAAGAAAGAGGCTGTGCTTTTTTAAAACAGGGCATGCAGTTTGCCTTACCTTTCCAGCCATCCAAACTTTTGAAAACAGGCTTTCACACTTTAGCAGTCCGAGAAAGGTTCCAGTGTGGTGTTAGGTTCCACTATGGTGTTATTCTCTAACTTACCACTGTTCATGTGAGTACCAGATGTTGTATAAAATTAGCTTGGAGCATAAACAGATCATATTTTTTTCCAAGTTTATTTCATTCCAAATTATAACACAAGATGTATTCCAAACTCTGTCAGCAATATTCCATTTTGTTTTTACATATAAAAAACAACAACCATCCTTTCTTACAGGCCATGTAACTTTTACAGCAGAATGAAATAACCTTGTTCACTGAAGAATTGCCAGTAACAAACAAAATAATGTTAAGAAACTAAAGTTGCAATACAAAAATGTTCCATCTTCAGGTATGCTCACATTCTCCTCTTCTGTGTACTTATATACAAAACTGTTTAAAAGGAGGAAAAGACAATTAGGATGTTTTGCATAAATGTACTTGTATACATAATAGTGTGTATATAATAGGTATAATTATAACAGCTACAGTCCATAAACTTAATATTATTGCCAGAAATACTGGTTTGATCCAAAAATACTGATCATTGATAGAAACACTGTTTTACATCTCGTACTATAACACTGTGTGAAAAGTAAAATAAATCCAAAGAGATTTTGCTACTGCAACCTTTTGTATGAAACCTGCTACAGAACTGATTTCTTATAGAATCATGTGACTTTTTGAATATTTGCACCAACAGTGCTAGTATAGCAGCTTCCTTCTGTTCATTATTCCTTGGAGCCAATCCTGTAGTATAGCTCTAAATATATTTTTCTTTGTAAGACAATGAAAAATCTTAGTAGTAAGACTAACGCAATCCTAAAAGAGGCATGATCCTGCCAGGACTAAACATTGCTAAAGCCCACTGATTACAATGCAAGCTATTTATGCATGTGCTCAACTCTCCCACTGAAACTAAAAGGGCAAATGCTTAATGCTCCCATTGAAATTAGAAGGGCAAATAACTAGATATGTGCAGCGTATGACACACCCATTAAACTTAAGTTGAGCCATCATATTAGAGAAGCTCCTACCTGCTAGACTGCTCCAAAACTTTCAAGTGTCCATACACTGCAGGGTCTTTTGTTTCTTTGTTTTAAATATTTATATACATGCATTCCCACCAACCCCGGCTTAATTTACCTGATCCTAGCATCACTACTAAAACAAATGAAGTTATATCACTGCAAAGATTAAGGATGCCTATTTTTCCAACTCTGTAAAACCTGGTGTAACCACCAAGAAAGCTAATGGAAAATGTTTGAAGGGAAGCACTGCCTAAAAATCTATTTTCCAATCCCAGGAACAATTCCTAAAATGTAAAGTAAAAATAAAACAAACCACCACTGAGCTCCATACTCTTGACTTTGAGGGCAACACAGATCACTTATTACCTTTTCGCAAAGCCTCACATGAGTTGAAATATTTAATCATACCTCAAATTCTCTCATTTGGCAAGAGGACATGAGGCAAGAGGAAGGTGTTGTAAGAAGTCATTCTGCATGAGGCTTCACAGAAGCCAAACATTTATGGATGCCTGCTTACTACATCTAATTCACCATCAAAAGTATGTACACGAAGAGCCATTACCTAATTTTTCAAAAAAAAAATCTTCCCTCAAAACAATTTGGATAAATACACTAAAACCCAGTATCTTCTAGTTAAGCATACTTACCATTGTTTCCTCTGATGAAAGCATCCCCATATTTATTCTTTAGTTGTCCATTTACATACTCCTCTGTCTGCTCCAGAGCTATATTCATGTACCCATCCAAGCAAGCCAGAACACCTAAAATCAATGAGACCCACAGAACTGCTTAGACTTCAGAGCTACATTTTTAAATCAAATGCTGTATTAAAAATTCAGTACAAGTACAGTACATTATTGCAAAAAAAGACTAGACAAGCAGAAGTGTAGAGCTATAGGTTGTTATGGTAAAAAGAATTGCCACGTCTTCCTAGAAACTGATTAAGACTGCAATCCTTACCCTATTTCCTAGGAGTAAGCCCCATTGACTTCAATAAGACTTGATTCCAAGTAGATGTTGTTAGGATTGCACTGTAAGTCACTATCTGTAATTTAGCATATGAAATGTAGTATCACTGTAGCAGAACCCTTTGCCACAAGATCAACAGTTTCTTCTCTGGAGCCTGGAAAGGTTATCCTTCCATTTATGGATTATCTTAAGACTACTGTATCTTAACATTCTGCAGTAAGTTGTCATGAATTTGAATGGACATAGGCACATCAAGTTTAACTCGTATGGTATGGCATGTATTTTATGTTTTCATATTGCAAACCACCCTGTGATCTTTGGATGAAGGGTGGTATAGAAACCAAATAAATCCGAATAATAGAAGGAAGCAGCCATGTACACAAGTCCAAATGTATGTTATTCACTGAAAACTGGAATACTACAGCTATAACAACATTTTAGGTATACAATGTGGGAAAAGTTAATCTAAATTATCAAGTTATCTAAAAAGATAATAATCTAAGAGGCAACTTTTGTTTTAAAAGTGTGTAGTATTAAAAATGGGATGCGGGTGGTGCTGTGGTTTAAGCCACTACGCTGCTTGGATTTGCCAATCAGAAGGTCGGTGGTTCGAGGCCCCACGATGGGGTAAGCTCATTGTTCGGTCCCAGCTCCTGCCAACCTAGCAGTTTGAAAGCACACAGTGCAAGTAGATAAATAGGTACCGCTCCGGCAGGTAGGTAAATGCCATTTCTGTGCACTGCTCTGGCTTCTCCAGAAGTGGCTTAGTCATGCTGGCCACATGACCTGGAAAAACTGTCTGCGGACAAACGTCGGCTCCCTCAGCTAGTAAAGCAAGATGAGCACCGCAACCCCAGAATCATTCGCGACTGGTCTTAACTATCAGGGATACCTTTACCTTTACCTTTAGTATTAAAGAGAGCTATTTAATATTACCTGAGAGTGCAAACAAGATTCAGATTCAGAGGAAGGCTTGAGGGGGGAAATGCTACGAGTTTATTCTAAAATATGTAATGATTTTGTGGGGTTTTAAAAAATAATGTTGTATGAAATATTTTAAAAATAATGTCCTGCCAACATACTTCAGTTACAATCGTACCTTGGTTGTTGAACTTAATCCGTTCTGGGAGTCCATTCAACTCCCGAAACGGTTCGAAAACCAAGACGCAGCTTCTGATTGGCGGCAGGAGCTTCCTGCACTCAATCGGAAACCGCATTGGAAGTTTGGCTTCCGAGAAACATTCGCAAATCGGAACACTCACTTCCAAGTTTGCGGCGTTCGGGAGCCAAAAAGTCCAGAGTACCAAGGCGTTCAACAGCCAAGGTATGACTGTATTCTTAAACCAAGGTTTCAACCAGTTTCAAGTAAGTCCTAATGATTTTAAAGGGTCTTACTTTCAAGTTAATATGATGAAAATTCAGATACTGAAGTTGAGATCATAGAAATATAGAATTATAGTGTTGGAAGGAACCCCAAGGGTCATTTAGTCCAACCCACTGCAATGCAGGAATCTCAACTAGATCATACTTGACAGATGGCCATCCAAGCTCTGATTAAAAACATCCAAGGAAGGAGAGCCCACTACCTCTCAGGAGAATCTGTTCCACTGTCTACATACTCTTAAAACAAAAGTCCCAGCTGCAAAAGGTAACCTCGGCTAGGTATTAGAAAGCTAGACATATCTCAAGGAAATCAGAAAAGCAGACCAAGGTTTCGGATCATATTTATCAAGGGAAGTTTTTAATGTGTGACATTTTAATGTGTTTTTAATCTTTGTTGGAGGCTGCCCAGAGTGGCTGGGGGAACCCAGCCAGATGGGAGGGTACAAATAATAAATTATTATTTTTTATTCTAAAAGGATGTTATTGGAAATGTGGCAAAAAATATTTGTGAATACTTTAAAGTAAACTCTATAAGTAGAACTGTATTTTCTCTCTCAATGTAAAAAAGTAGGAAACCCTACAAACTTGTAGCTTTCATCTTGTGTTTGTCAAGCATTAAATGGTCTCTTTCCTAGAATCACCTCTAGTATGGTAGTGGTACAATGAAAACCTCACTCCTGAAAAGATGTACAGTCTCAAAGCTCCCCATCAGCTTTCTTCTTAGCTATAGAATCCTTTTAAATGAAGTGAGTTCTTGGGAAATTTAAACATTTAATTTACACTCAACATCTTAGAAAGATGGTCTAGTATTGCTTAGAAATGTCATCACAGCCTCATCCTCATTTGGAACACCAAGTAGGCTTAGAATTTAAGTAAATCAGCTAGGGTTGCCAGGCTTACTGTTCAAAACAGCAAATTCTCAATCCAAAAAGTCTGGCTAGGATGATAAAAAGATTCCAGATGTGGGGACTAAATTAATCTCACTACTCCTACCTTTGTATATATAACCCATAATGCCTGAGCCTGACTGTGAAGAACTCTCCAAGAACAGGCCAGGATCATAATCCAAATTATATTGGTTCCTTTCTTCCCAACTCAAAGATCACATAAATATATCATGATGACTGGCGCACAAGACTGACAGAACTTACCTCGATAATCAACTCCAGAATTCAACTTTACAACAACTGGTCTTCCAATGATTTGTTTCAAGAAATCACTTGGAGTTTGTTTCCGTAAACTCATTTTGACAGATCTGGGAGGCTAAAGGAAACAGAAATAGGAAAACGGTTGAAATGCAGAACTCAAAACAGCACAAACAAATGCTCAACAAACAGAGGTAGGATGCTGGCTCTGTAAAGTGATCATTTGGGAAATAAATATCAAACAAGAGGATAAAGCAAAAAAAAATTTGAAGCGAGGCTTTTGAAACTGCAGTTCTACAGCCATTGCATGAAACTACTCTCAACTACATACGGTTTGATATTCTTAATAAGAAGCTTATCTAACACATCTGTTCACAACACACCACCATTTGAAAACATTCAAAGTACTCTGGCATGCCTTTATTCTGTCTCTGTAGTTTTTCTACAAAAGAACTTCACAGTATTGTGGAATTCAGATTCTTTTTTTAACATGGTGACTATGGATTTATAAATAAATAGCTAACTGAGGAAGCATAAGCACAGGCACTCTCATCTCATGTACAGCTAATTCAGAACTTTCATTATTTGAAGGCAGTAACATACTGATGAGTGAAATCACTCCAAAGGTACATTGATATAATCGTATAACAAGCCTAATTTGTTAAACGTGTAAATAACCATCTAAAACTTCAGATCCATTTAGTAAATTATTGTTTTTGCAACTGGATACATGTTTCCTAGAAGAACAAGTTGGTGTTGGCAGCATTTCCTCAAATATCACAATAAATATGATCTATTTAAAGTCTCTAAATCTGCTTTTCTTTTGAATATCCTGAACTCTGCACTTTTTGCTAAATAAAATCAACTAATGCCCATTTCACAATATCCATAGCAGCCCAGATGTAACATACTAGAAGCCTACACAACACAACTGACCTAACTGGGATTTATGCTGTAACAGATTAGGGCTCCTGCCCAAGAACATCAGCAAAGGATTCATCAAAATATTTTCTTTATTTATTGCCTCTAATATGGTGTTCTGGATTTTTAAGAAGTGTTTTAACTATTCTTATTTTCCTTTTCTATTTTCACCATCATTCACCAGAAACAAGATGATGACAGTCACAGATAACCTAGAAATGAAAACCTGCAAGTGGACAGGATGCACAAGGTTTCTGCATGCAAACAAACACAGGTCAGGCCCATTCATTCATAAAAGCTCCAGATGACCCAATTATTTCCAAGACAGCTAGAGGTAGTATCATTATACTATGCTTCTCTGCACCAGCCCTGGCAACCTTGGACACATGATGTACAGTGTATATGTACCCCAGGAAAAAATAGGGCATTCTTAAGTGTCCACAATTTTCCATCAAAATGTTGGGCATAGACCAATCAGACATTTGGATTATAAAATTCACAAGCAGAGACTGGAAGAGCTGCTTAAGGAAAATGAGTCAAGAAGCCTTGCAACTTAACATTTAGCACTCCCATAACTATTTTCTGGGTCTCCTCCTGGAGTCCTGCTGGTGAAGGGTGGGTAATAAATTTAATAAAATCAAGGTATCTTGTGGGTGCATACATAGAACAGCACCAGAGGAAGCTTTCCAGTAAACGTTTCCTGAAAGAACCTAACAGAGACCTAGGCTCCTTGACCTATCGCCATCCGAGTTACAGTGGTGCCTCGCAAGACGAAATTAATTCGTTCTGCGAGTTTTTTCGTCTTGCGAATTTTTCGTCTTGCGAAGCACGGTTTCCCAAAGTCTTCAAAAACCTCAAAAAAGGCTACCACACCGCGTGCTATGAGTTGCTCCTCGAAGTCACCCTGGGTATTAACGGTTTTAAGAAAAAGGAAACAAACTTGCAAGACGTTTTCGTTTTTCGTCTTGTGAAGCAAGCCCATAGGGAAATTCGTCTTGCGAAGCAACTCAAAAAAACGAAAAAACTCTTTCGTCTTGCGAGTTTTTCGTCTTGCGAGGCACCACTGTATTTGGCATATGCAATCCTTGTGAAGGGCAGGATTAAAAAAATAAATGTCGCTTTCAAGTGTATTCCTATTCTACACTGATGTAAGAAGTTTGCACTTGGCAGTTATTTTGTTATTACCCGCGTGTGCTCCTGCAAAGGCCACTGTGACAGTAGCTGTGTTCCCGTGTGCTGTACAGTAGTGATCAAAGGGACGTATAGGAAGTGGGTGGGTGTGTCAGGTTCAAATTACTGCCCAACTATTAAAGAACCGCCGGGTAACACCGGGCCAGCCCCACCTGCCTCGCAGGTTTGTTGTGAGGATAACGTGAACTTGGGGAGGGAGAAGGTGTAATGCAGAACTGCAGCAGATGAATTAATAATTCACAATTCAAACCCTCTCCGCTGCCAGTCCTTCTGTGGGGTCGTAAACCGTTAAGGAGCGCACGCCGAAGCCAGGGAGGCTGCTCGGCAGTGTATCGCAGGCACCCAGCAAGGGGAAGGGCTGCGGAGCCGAAGCCCACACAATGCGACGGCCAGGGCCGCAGTCTCCCGCTTTTATTGGAGGGGGGTGTCACTTGACTCCCAAGCCGGCGGGGTCTAGGAAACCAGCGTCCAGGGCCCCCTCGTTAACAGGGCAGCTGCGAGGCGCTAAAGGAGAAAGCGACCCCCTCGACGGCCGCGGCTTGCGAAGGGAGCGGCCCCGCCGCGCAGGCCCTGAGGGAGGCCGCGGCCTAGAATGTTCCGCCACAGCAGCGCGCGCGCGGCCTCTCGCCCCCCCCCCCCCAACCGCCACCCCTCGCGCCGCCGCTGCCCTGGAGTTCCACGCTTGCCCGCCCTCAGTCACTCACCCGCGCTTCTTCGCGTTACTTAACTAGCTCGGACGGTTTTTCCCGAACGTAAAAGATGATGGGCTGCTGGCTCCGCCAATCAGCGCGCTGCAGCTTCGCGTCGCGGCTACGGTGCCCCGACCCGGCCAAAAGTCTTCGCTTCCTCCGCCTTTTCAAAATCAGGGCGGAGTTCTTTCCTTAAGGCTAGAGAGAAGGAGTCCCGTTGGACTTAAATCGGGTTTATTTCCGAGGAAAGGCGACGCACGCAGGGGATCGGGCTGTAGGGCTCCCTTTGAGAGAGTCCCGCCCTGCTAACGGTATAGGTAGGAGAAGCCGCGAGGGAGGAGTTCATAAGCCGCCCGCTTTTGTTTTAGTGAAATAAATACGCGCGTGCAGCGATAAAAAGCGAGCTGTGCCTTTGTTTTCAAATCAGGACGTTGTTGCTGCCGCTCCCAAGTATTATAATCATAAAACTGTAAAGTTGGAAGGGGGCACGAGGGTCATCTAGTCCAACCCCCTGCAAATGCAGGAAACTTTGGCCCAACGCGACTGCCTTAATAAAGAAATAGCAATCCTTGGAAGAGTCCCCTGTAAAAAAACGCCTTTTGCTTCGGAGTTGCCAGAAAACATGTTGCAACTGGGTGGGATGCGCTGGTGCTTTCTCCAGGCAGAATTTGGCCCCTCTGCATAGAATTTGCCCCCCTATCATTAGGCAGAGTGGAGCAACTGCCTCAAGCAGCAGGTGCTGGCAAGGCATCAGGGGTGGCCTCTCCAGTGCCCTCTGCTGACCTCATTGGTGGACAACACTAGACCATTGTCAGTATTGGAAAACATGTTTGTGGGCTTCCTATAAGCATATGATTGGCCACTGTGAGTACAACATGAGCTTTTTTTTTAGGGGAGCTGCAACAATTGTTGAGCTTTATTAGGAAAAACCACCAAAACTTACGTAGCTGGCGTTTTGAGGGACGGGCAGTGGCTCCACCCACCTACAGCGGCGAAGACACCTAACAGCTGCCATGCCGCCCTGCATCTCCTCTGCTGCCCAGCAGTCCAGCCCCCAATGCCCAGCAGCCACCATGCCGACCTACAGCCCCCCCCCTGCGCCCGGGTCGGCTCGCCACCCCCGCCCCTACACTACAGGGACTAGGTAAGCTTTTGGCCTCATCCACCATCAATAAGATTCAACTGCCAATCCAATTAGCCCTCTGTGTAATAGAGGTGCTGCCTTGTTCTTTGCCTCAGGCAACAAAATATCTTGAGCCAGCCTTGCCGCTAGGGTCAGCTGTTCAGAAATCCCTGTTATCGGCTTGTGCCTAAACACGTCACTCAAAAATGCCCACTGGGTTTGGCAAGATTTCCTTTGCAGAATATGTGCATAGAGGTTTGCACAGGTTTACTCAGGCTGCATATACATAACTTTAAAGCACATTCAAAGTGCACCCTGCACGAACCCTGGGAACTGTAGAATTGTAAGAAGAGTTGCAGTTCCCGGCACCCTTAAACTACAGTGCTTAGAATTATTTGAGGGGTTAAATGTGGCTTGAATCTTCTTTAAATACAGTGGTGCCCCGCAAGACGAATGCCTCGCAAGACGGAAAAACCGCTAGACGAAAGGGTTTTCCGTTTTGAAGTTGCTTCGCAGGACGAATTCCCCTATGGGCTTGCTTCGCAAGACGAAAATACCTTGCGAGTCTTGAGGTTTTTTTCGCTTTTCCCCCTTTATCTAATCTGCTAAGCCTTTAATAGCCTTTAATAGCCTTTTAGCAGCTAATCCCCTAAGCCTTTAAGCCTTTAATAGCCTCTAAACCGCTAATAGCGCTAATAGCGCTAATCCGTCAATGGGCTTGCTTCGCAAGACGAAAAAACCGCTAGACGAAGACTCTCGCGGAACGGATTAATTTCGTCTTGCGAGGCACCACTGTATATAGTGTTAAGCAGCATCAGAAGTAAGCCCTGCTGTATTCAGTGGAGCATCTTCCATACTAAGTGCACTTGAGACTGCAGCCTATTGCTCAGGAAGCAGAATGTACAGCTTGTGAATTGCAACTAGAGTTGCAGACTCCTGAAATTAATGGATTCTGGTACTGGCTAGGGTCTGGAGGTGGAGTCCAGAGAGGGCCAATTCAGCTGCAGAATCTAGTGGCTCTTGGCGGACCCAGGAGTAGAAAACAGCACAGTTTAAAAAATGTTGCAGAAGATGCTCAGGAGGGACTTTGCCTATTGCTTTTCAAAGAATTGTCAGAACCTCCCCCCACTGCTTAGTTTGAACTCTCAACAGGTGTGTCACTTGTTTGATGGGACCCTGAGACTGTCAGCTCCCATTATGTGCTGGAGCTAGAGAAATGAGAACGTGCACATAAGGCACATGGAGATATGGGTGGGTAGAGCATCGAAAGTCCCGGGTTCAATCCCTAGCATCTCCAGGTAAGGCTGAGAGAGAGAGCCCTGACTGAAATCCTGGAGAGCCTCTGCCAGTCAGTGTAGACAATACTGAGCTAAGCTGACCAATGGTCTGGCTCAGTATAAGGCAGCTTCCCCTTCCTATGTTCCTAATTCACACAACTCTCCTGGAAAAATATCTAGTCTGCTTTTCTTTTTATTTCAACCTGGTTGAAGTTTTAAAAACATAGATTGAGGACTCCTATATATTAAGGGAAGGAGCCAAAAATATATTTTGATGATTTTCAAGCCAGAAGCTGCCTAGACTCTATAAGCTGTAAGGTTTCATGTGACATATTTTACATTCCAATTTTAAGGTTTTGGCTCTTGGATGAAAAATAAAATACCTGTAGTGTCAAAACCAGTCTTGAACACCCACTCACCCATCATATTGCATATTTTACAGGAATACACAAATGTGTTTTTCTCATATGACTTCCTTGGCCAATCTTGATTTAAATGGCAGCATCTTGGCAAATGTTATGTGGAAGGGACCAGGTGAGGGAAATGAGATGTAGCCAGCTCAGCAACACATTACCCACAGAAGCAGAGGGAAGTTAGGGCAGGGAACTAGTTCTTAATGCTCCTTATCTGCATACCCTTTGTTCTCCATTACATAACTGCTGCCTCTTGATGCATGAACTGAAAATATTTCTTGTTTAGTACGCGATTTCCATTAATTTTGTTTAGTTCCTCTGCCAAGCAAAGCAGGAAGTACACTTTGAGTGCTGGGATGGCTGTAGCTATGCTCTCCAGAGGACAGATGTCAAGGGGAGACAAAAGTAAACACTCAAAAGAGGTGAGCAGTTTTATGTCTGGCCAGAAGAGGAAGCAGAGACAATGGTTTTTGTATTGTTTAAATGGTTTTCAAAGAAAATTGGTCTTCAAAAACAAGGCATTAGCAGCTGGGAAGGTATCTTGCATAAAACCACAACTTCTGCACAACTTCAGTTTATTTAGGGACATAGAATGCTACTTTATACTGAGTTAGATCCCAACTGCATCAAGCTCAGTATTCTCTACACTGACTGGAAGCAGCTGACCAGGCTGGTGGTATTCCCAGCCCTAGGAGACTGGGTGGCGCTGTGGCCTAAACCACTGAGCCCCTTGGGCTTGCCGATAGGAAGGTCAGCAGTTCGAATCTGTGCAACAGGGTGAGCTCCCATTGCTCTGTCCCAGCTTCTGCTAACCTAGCAGTTTGAAAGCATACCAGTGTGAGTAGATAAAGAGGTACCGCTGTGGCAGGAAGGTAAACGGTGTTTCCATGTGCTTTGGTTTCTGTCATGGTGTTCCATTGTGCCAGAAGCAGTTTAGTCATGCTGGGCACATGACCTGGAAAGCTGTCTGTGGACAAACGCTGGCTCCCTCAGCCTGAAGCGAACTAAGCACTGCAACCCCATAGTTGCCTTTGACTGAACTTAACTGTGCAAGGGTCCTTTACCTTTAACCTTTTATTCCCAGCCCTACCTAGAGATGTTAAGAGATTGAATCTGGGACTTTCTGCTTGCAAACCAGGTACTCTCCTACTGAGCTGTGACCCTTCCCCAAATTTCCCAGAAATTTCAGCAAAGTTTCTGCATAAATTGGATTATGTAGTACAAAATGACGGATGGCATGTCTGCTTAGGGCATGTTGGGAGATACGGGTGTTCTGATAAACTGGGTCAGCTCATCCACTCTTTGCTAGCCAAAGGGTATCCATGCAAACCTGCACCAATCCTCTGGATTGGCCTTTTTGGACCTATGGGCCAGAGAAATTGTGGGCACCGCACACACACACAGACACATACACCACCACCACCGCAGCCAAGCACACCTTTGCTACTCACTATAGTAGAATGTATCTTTCAAGCCTCATTTCAGCCGAGAAGAGGACCCTCTGGGTGCCAGAGAAGATGTATTTTGGTTTTTGTATCCTAGAAGGTGCCATGGCAGTGAGCCCTGCTCTAGTTAGTACAAGTAGAAGGGCATGCAAAATACGTTCATTGTTTCCTATAGGTTTAACAGCTAACCCAGGACAGTTGTGAAAGCTCTACCATTATCCCATGAACAGGGCAGTACTTAAAGTTTTATTTTTGCTGGGGTAATTTAATTATTCCTGCACAGTTTCAGTTTGGCTCAGCTCATTTTTTGTATTGTACATTCTGTACCGTATGTTTCATTAATTGAAAAAAATCATGAAGAAAATGCATGAAAAATATTTCTTGGGTTCCATAATCTTTTCCAAAACCTATTTCGGAAAAGGTGGATGAAACATATTTTCAGCTACACGAATTCCTTTGGCTTGCACTTCTCATGAAGACAGTGGAATAGATAGCAGGAGATGTTAATGCCTTCCTGTCATAGTCCTAACAAAGCTCACCTGCCAGTGCCAGGCCAGTATGGATATGTCTCCAGCACGTTCTCTCTTACGTAGAATACTCTTTCTTTCTAGTGGGTAGTACTTAAAATGAATGTTAGATATCACCAGGCTTATCATTTGATAAGTGCTTTGATGTATACGCTATATAAAAAGCTTGCCCTTGACCACAGGAGTCATTCACAGAAAAGGCAGGGTAACAATACATTCATCCCCATAGCATCCTCGAACTTCCATTGGAGGGATTGTAATCCAAATTCATTCAGCCTTTCCTTTGGAAAGCAAGGCTCTGTTTTTGTTTTTTTCAAGAACACTATTTGGCAATATTTGCGATGGTGCTTTTAGTGTTGACATTTGTAAATAACAGATATCCTTTCTGCTGTGGTTGAATGTTTAGCACTGGAAAGGGCAAGGGAATATCACATTGTGAACTGTATCTTCACTCTGCATGCTTCCTCTCAACAATTCCATCTAAAGCCTGAACAACTAAAAACAATGGGAAAGCTTCCATTAGCACCTGTATAATGAAGCTCAACTCATTTGCTCTTCGTCTTCCTGCTACAGTTACTGCTACTTGAGAGGTATATTTCCTGTGAATTTCTGCATGATGTGTGCAGCAAAAGGAACAAATCTCTCCAGTATCATTCAGAGGGCAAATTATGATGCTGAAACTTGGGAAGGCATGGTAAGCATCATCATAAGAACATAGGAAGCTGCCTTGAATTGAGTCATACCAGCTGTTGTTGTTTAGTCGTTTAGTCGTGTCCGACTCTTCGTGACCCCATGGACCAGAGCACGCCAGGCTCTCCTGTCTTCCACTGCCTCCCGCAGTTTGGTCAGAATTATTTAGCCCAGTATTATTTAGCTTGTACCAGCTCTCTAAGGTCTTTCACATAATCTACTACCTCAGAGTTGCTAGGCGCCCAAGACCCATCAGCCCCACTCAGCATGACCAGTGGTCAAGACTGATAGGAGTTGTAGTTCAGAAAGACCTAGAGGGCCACGTGTTCCCTACCCCTGCACTACCGGAAGTCAGCTTCCCTGAAATTAAAAACACTACAAGTCCAACACCAAATACATTGGTGCAACTACATTGCCAAGGGTTTAGCTGTAGGGTAAGAAGCATGTGAAATGAGCCTGTTTAATAGTCCTTTGATGAAAAGGAGGGTCGCCGCAGTTCACTTAACAGCACAATCCTATGCATATTTAATTCAAAGTACATTCTGTGCAAGTTGTTATACACCAACCCAAACTCCACAGCCGTGCAAGATTCCAGGGTTACAGGCACTTACCTATGGTTCATGTTTCCTTTGGAAATGAGGCAACGTGGAGATTGTGGTGTCTTTATGTTATATGGTTTATTACACATATATACACCCGAGCCTACAATGAAGGGGTTCAAAGCATTCTACTCAAAGCAGGTTCTGTCTCTCTCGTGGCTGCAACGTTTAATCCAAAACTGCCAGCCCCATGCTGCTCTGAGTCCTCTTTCTCCAGCTCGCAAACTCCTTGCCAAATGCAACAAACTCTCCTTCAGCTTACATCCTCGCCCACTCCAGTTCTGCCCCTCACTCCTGCAACTCTGTCTTTTTTCTCCTGCTGCCTATCTCTCAGCCCATGGCTGGGCTCCACCTGCCTGCATCCAGATAGTCTTTGCCTTGTTGATGGCTTCCTTGATGGGTCAACACCCTGCCTTCGTTTGCTTAACGACCTGGCCATTCAGGCTGGCCTGAACACTGGAGGATTGGTTTGGCCTGTATTTTGCAAAGCCAAACTCAGGGTCTGGCACCCAGGGAATAGAAGTGGGGGTCCAGCAATTAGAAGGGGAGTCCAGGCACCCCACAAACTATAGCACAGGCCAATCGGCTAACTTCAAAATAGTGTGTATAGGATTGCAGATAAAACATGCTAGTAGCAGACTTTACAAAAAGTTGTGTACAAGTACATTTATCTCAATGGCTAGGAGACATTCAAAACATTCAGATAATACACAAATGATGCTGTGTCTGAGACATGCAAAGTAAAGGTAGATAGCTGTAATTTTAACTGAAGTATATGCAAGCACTGGATGACCTAGACCATTTGCAGTTCTTTGGAATACTACAGCAAAGGTGAATTAAAATGATTAATCTGAAGTATCTCAGAAAACATTGGATCAACAGGCAAGTATGCCTTATCTCTCTTAACAGTCAAGAGGAGTGGATATTAATTATTAACAAATGTAGGATGGAAACAGCAGATGAAAATTAAAACTCCTAAGATGGTTGAATTCCATCTTAATATATCCTCGAAGATCATGTAATCACATCTGTTAATGGGCAACCTAAGAATGCTACATTTCCTGAGTGACAAAATCTAAATGACCTCAAAGATACAGTCTTCAAAGAGTTTACGTAATCCATAATTAATGGACGTGTTTAAACAGTTCAAAACTCTGGAGGTGAAAATAAAGCCGATCTATGTTCACTACACAAGTATGACCACAGCATTGAAATGATTCAGTCACAAATAGCCTTACATGCATTTTTGAGCAACTGCCTTGAACGTTGCAGCCTGGTATCTTTTTTCAGTGTTTAACCTATTTAGATGCAAGGCAGATTCAGATCAGATCAGGTAGATTCTATGTACCATTGCTTCTGTAAATTTCTTTACAGTCTACCATGGCAAAGCTTTCCTAGTGTTATTATTCATTGGAATCAGACAGAAGCCGCCCTTGTCTTTTAATCAAGATGAACTTGAAAGGTGAACATTGTAAGTGGCAGAAATTATTTATAATTTTGGTAATAAAAGTTTATGTCCAACATTCCAAATTTCATACATCTGCTCTGGTGCTGGCCTTGAGATATAAAACTGTTGGAAGTTTCCTTTAGAGTGGGCATTAGTTGAAAGGGGATAAATCAGAATGATAGAGTTCATAGCCATTCCTAGCTCACAAAATTTCCATATTAACATCTTCACCTCAAACATAAATGGTTGCAAAGTTACAATGAAGAGAGTTGCATTGGCCTTTGTCAATTGAGCTTAATGATGGAAATCCAGACAATGGAACATTTACCTACTGTGGAGCGTTAAAAGAGGAACAATTTCAGAATCCTTGTGCAGAAGACCCAATTAAAAATTTATGGCCAACTGTAAAACATAAAGTGATATTTGACAGTCTTTCTCTTGTTCTCCTTTTACCGAAGTACAAAACAATGAAACATAAGAGGTCCTCTCACCCCCCAACTACTTATAATGAAGCCTTTTTCATAGATCAATGGGAGCTGTACAGAGGATTAAAAATGTGTTTCAGGGTTGTATTTGTTTTATCTGTAGCTCATGCTATTACAAAGGCTGGGATAGCATAACAGAACAAAAAACATAATGTTTTTACAGTTATTAAGCCCTAGCCATAGTTATCAATTTAATTAGGGCTGCAGTTCCTTCATTCCTTTACCTGGGAGCAAGCCCCATTGAACTCAATAGGACTTGCTGTTGAGTAGACATGAATAAAAATGTCTATTGAATGACATTTGGGATTTAAAGCACCACAGCTTTAAAGCACATTAAAAGTAAATCTATCATTACATAAATTTTCATGGATTACCAAAAAATGATGCAATCTGATGAAGTGAGCTTTAACGCCCAAATAAGTTTGTGTCACAATAAATTTGTTAGTCTTGAAGGTGTTAGTACTGATCTTTTTATCGTTCTGCTAAAATTGTGCTGTGATCTACTTCACAGGGCTGTTGTGAAGACAGTAGACTGTAAAAGACTTCAGAATTTGGTCACCTCCACACCATACATTAAACACATATGTAAGGCACATTGCCTCTCTCAAAGAATCCTGAGAAATTCAGTTTGCAATTCCCAGCAGCCGTAACAAACTACTTTTCCCAGGATTCATTGGGGAGGCCATGTCTCTAGGGGAAGTATAACATTACTGAAGGGCAGCAACTAAGAACATCTTTCTGCTTCCTCCTTCTTAGCCTGTTCCCCACAATGGGCTCCCCCTTCTCTTCTTCATCTGACAGCAATTACCACCCCAGCCTCGAGCCAGTGATGACACCAACCCAAGACAGACTTATCTCCCTCCATAAGTGGATACAGGTATTCCCCACTGTGTACCATTGCACAGTGCTTCCACGGACAAACTTAGGGCTCGGGTTCATGACAAATTTTCAGAATTAGGAGAAAGATTGCACTTCAGTATTCACAACCCAAAGGCAAACAACAAAAGCATCCTCAACCGCAAGCCAAAATCACTGTAGTGATAGGAAAGGGTCCGTATGCTCAGACAGGGGTCTCGAGTGGACTCGTTCTGCCAGTGCAGAAGGTAGAGAGAACTAAGCTAGAAACCTCTTGTGCTGGAGATTTGACTGGTTCAGTAAACTTAATATATGGCGATAATTGACAAACATGTTTTTGCTGCAGTTTCCTAACCTATCAATCTATTGAGGAGCTTTTAGGCTAGTGTCCTAGTATCTTGTCAGCAATTCCTACAACTTTCAGCAGGACTAGCTGATCTTACGAATCACAATTATTGGCCATGACTAGAAAAGTATTGCTGAAAACAAGCAAGGTCTTAAGAAACTGAACAAGTGGGTGGCAGGTGTGAACTTTATAGAGCCAGGCATGGGCTTTGGCAAGTTCTGAAACAAACCAACTATGGCCACAATGTGATATCAGGATGTATGTAAAACGGGGATGTATGTAAAATGGGGGGGGGCAGTGTGATGCCTTTCAGATGCTGTTGGACTACAAATCCCATCAACCCCAGCCAACATGTCCAATGTTCAGGAACAGTGAGAGTTGTAGTCCAACAACATTTAGAAGACATTACATTGGCTACCCCTCTTCCAGCACTCCAAAGACTACACAGCTAGCATGATATGCTGCTGTTTGCCACACCATTTGGGTTGTCTAATAGTGTGTGAGTATTCACACACCCAACTCATATTGGCTCTTTTACAGTGTGCGCTGGAGTTGAAGACTCCAGTCCTAAGATGTTGGCAAAGGATCGCACCCAAGGATCACCAATGAGGAAGGATGGGACAAGGTTGTTTGAATCTGTAAGCACATATATGGGGAATGGGGAAGCAAGAAAAGGACTCAGTCCAGTCTCCAGTCTTGTTTCTTTGACCCCACCACAGATTATTAGTGCTGCCAGAGATGTCCATCCTTATTATTTGTTTGGCAGTGTCTCTTCAATACAGATGTGCCATGTGAAAGTGCTGGACACACAGTTCTTACTCATCCTTGTTTGATATTTCTAGCAGGGGGTAGTCTAGTCAGGAATGAAAATTGGTTTCTGCTTTTGCATCACTCTTGCCAAATCGTGGCAATTGTGTGGTTTCAAGCCCATATCTAATATAGAGAAGCTGTATTTCATGTTAGCCTTTGGGGTGGGGGAGTGATTACATCACTGGACAATTTTCCAGTTTTATTATAAATTTTTAACTATATGGATCAATTTCAGGGTGTGTCAATTTCAAGGTCTTGAATTAAAGCTGTATCATTGTCAAACAAGCAGCCTATAACCAGAAATGGTTATTCTCCATCCATGTTTCCAATTACTGAATCTAATATATTATTAAATTAGCCTTTACCCAAAAAGCATTGATTCTCTGCACAAACATCAGCTTAGACTGTCTTGTAAACTGCACATTGTTTTCCCTTCTGCTTTTAATTTCATCAAAGTAGAATTGATTTTGTCATGTAGAAGAGCTAACCCTAGCAACAAATCAGGTTTTTGAAACAAAAGTTCATTGTAGATACCATTCCCCCCCCCCTTTTGTTGAAATGTTTATTTTCATTCTTTGCTTTAGTTTAGACTTGGCTTATGAAAAATGCAATGTTTACTGTTACTTATATTGCTCTTTAATGTAGCTAGTTTTGTCTACAATTACTACAATATTCAAAGCAAATGTGGTAATATCATGCTCAAAATCTCTTGGACAAAATTGCTATCCAGACGTGAATCTTACGGTGTGTCCTAGTGAAAATCACAGATTCTTAGTCTAATTCACTTCAGAAGTTGGTTTGGAGGGTAAAATGAGGCAAATGTGCTCTTGGGATGAGGGCAAGAAATATATTCTAAAATTAATAATAAAAATGGCTAAACACAGCTATTTTCTGGTGACGAGAAATCCAATGAATGCATGGATCTTTCCATGGGTTCCGTTATCAGGGCTTGGTTGCTCCATGTTCTGAAATGCATACTTAAATCTTTCTATGCAGATCCTCTATGCAGGACTCACTGGACTCTGGATCAGGACAGCTAAAAGTTTGCTAACTGCTTTTGAAAGACTAGGGCTGTCATGGGCGTAGCCGGGGAGGGGCAGGTGCTCCCCTAGATTGAGTAAAACAATATAAATTCTTAACTAACCAACCAACCTCGTCCGTTTTGCCCCCATCAACACAAGTCCTGTTCCCCTAATCAAGTCCTGCCTCCCCCAACAAAAATCTCGGCTACACCCATGAAGGTTGTTATTGTTCTTTTAAGTTCCTCAGCAATACAAGGGAGGCCTGTTTTACAACCTGAGGCTGTGTAGTATAGTGATTTGACTGTTGACCTTGAACCCAGCAAACCAAAGTTCAAACACCTATGTCAGAGGAAGAGTGGAGCCGGGGGAAGTCAGAAAGAGACAGTGGCGGGCTGGCGACATTTTGACTTGCTAGGACCACAGAGCAGCAGAGGTCAGGTTGACAGGAATCTCCCCTGTAGTGCAGGGAGTATAGTGACTTGGTCCTGTTGCAAGAATCGCCAGCTCAAGACCCCCAGAACCTTACACACTGCTGCTCAACTGTGACGTTAACTGGGCAGTCTTGGGTCAGCCACTTTCCCTCAGCCTAACATTATTTACAGGGAAGTTGTGAAGATAATATTGGGGAGTCTGGGAGTGTAACATGCTACCAAGAGCTCTTTGAACAAAAGGCTGGTATGCATGTAATGCTCAAACTTTTGTGCAGCAAGCAAGCCACTGTCATATAGTGGTTAGAATGTTGAAATAGGACTTGGGAGTCCAATGATTCCCCAGCAATATCTGAAGGGACAGTGTTATTTTTCTAGATAAAGAGGTGCCAGAACTCACCATGGATGCCTCCCTTGTTCTCTTATAATGGCAATGGCACCCACCAGAGAGGTGGCATCACTGAATTCCATTGAGTTCCAGGTGGAAAAAAAGCCCTAGTCCTTAGATATTGCTTGGATGCTAAAGTTTTTGATGGATTTGTTTTATGGTGTATTTACCATGTATAGTTATTGTTGCCCCATAGGATAGCTTGCTGGGTTATCAATATTACAATCAGTCAAGCAAGTAAGTCACTTTATTCGTAGAAGTGACTCTAAACCACTTAACACAAGTAAACTGACCCCCAGCACCCCTCACCATCGGCCAATACTGGCTGAGGATAAAGATAGAGGACTCTTCCTATCTCTTTCCTGTGTTTGTTTAAGTTATAGGTCTGTTTCATCCGTCCAATTTTATTTATTTTTTATTTGGCAGACTAAACAAATGAAAAGATGCATGAAAAATACACATTTAAAACTGTACATGTATTTATTGATTGATTGATTTATCCTGCCCTTCCTCCCAAAGCAGCTCAAGGTGGTCAACAGTTTATACATATTCTTCCCCAAAATACGGAGTTTGGTCAATGCATCCCCTCCACCCCCAAGGAACACATATTTGTACTGTTCCATGGTTGCCACATATTCAATTAGTTTCTACACAAACTATGGCTTTTAGAGCAGTGTGGCACCCGTACTTTGGAACACTGTTGTCACTGAAATTAGGCAGGCACCCAGAATTCTAGGAACATATGGAACTGTTTTATACTGAGTTATGCCATTGGTCCATCTAGCTCAGTATTGTCTACACTGATTGGCAGTGACTCTCCAGGGTTTTAAGCAGGAGTCTCTCTCAGTCCTAGATGTTGAAGATGAAACTTGGGACTTCCTGCATACAGGGAAAATGCTCTACCACTGAGCTATGCCCTTCCCCAGATTCTGATGCTTTTCTGCCTGCTGAAAATGTTTCTGTTTCGCCAAGCATTTCTAAAGAATTAATTTGATTCAGAGCTGGTCATTTGTTCTGCACATTACAGTTCGATAATTTTATGGTGTTTTAATGATTTTATTGCACACCACCATGCTTTCTCTTTTTTTACAATGAATAGGCAGTTTAGAAGTATACTTGCAAATAAATATCTATAAACCATTCCTCATAAAATATGCATTTTTGGGTGCATTTCTTGAACTGAAAGTGCATCATGAAAGTCAAAGAGCATAATCTGATTGACAGCTTTATTCCGATCTGCATATAGGTCCAGGATCAGCAAATGAGGTCAATTGACTTTAAAATGAAGACTGAATAAATTTCTCTTCCATCCTTAGCTGGGGATTATGGGAGTTGTAGTTCAATAGCATCTGAGGACCCCAGGTTGTGGGAGAATGATGCAGACATGGGAACCTCCACCCATACTTTTTGTTGTTGCAGGTTAATTACTGAAAAGATATGTAAGTGTGTGCCCTTAACACACATTACAACGCTGGAGTGTAAGGACTGCACAATTAGACACTTTAAAATTACATTAAATTCAATTGGCTTGAACTTATTGCATTAAAGTCAGTGTAACAAAAAGTGATTAATCTGATTGAATCATGTCCTTAATTATTACCTAGGACTATGTATTGTCCTTAAAACAAAACAAAAAAAATCTAAGTACAGATAGGTTTCAGTATTTTTTCCATGCCAACCTTAGAAAGTCATGCCCTCCCATCAGATGTCAGGGAGAAAAAGAATTACACAACTTTTATAAAACATTTGAAGGCAGCCCTGTTCAGGAAATTTTTTAACTGACATCTTATTTTATATATATATATATATATATATATTGCTGGAAGCAGCCCAGAGTGGCTGGGGAAACTCAGCCAGAAGGGGACAGGGTATTATTATTATTATTATTATTATTATTATTATTAAAGCCAGTCACTTTTATTCCCATTTTAGAGTTCGGGAACTGAGGCTGACGTAACTGAATTGCTAAAAGGTGAGTCAACAGCTCAGGCAGGGCTTTGAATCTTTTATGTTTCATTTTGCTTTTGTAAAGTCATTCCCAATCAGTTTATTGAAAGCACAAAAGCAGGTGAGCTTTACTAGAAGCCTGACAATGCCATGAGACAGAAACTGATACATTATTTATATTTTTATTACTGCTCAGAAGGAATTTTGCTATCAGATTCCTTTATAGCATGTATAATGGTTGAATATTGTTATAGCCATTTCCTAGAGGCCACACAGGTTTTTTGGTTTGGTTTGGTTTTATGTGTGATTTAAATATGAAAAGAGAGTGGGGAAAATAGGTTAAATTATTGTATGCCATTTCTTTTGAGGCTGGCGGCCTAAAGTCAATGGGAAAGGCTAATGATTTACTGCATGAGCAAGTTAAAAATGTATGCACTAATACATTTTACTGCCCTGTATATTCATGCTTTATTCCTCTGGCTCTTAAACAAAGTTTTTTAAAAAAGAAAAACCACATAGAGAGAGAGAGAGTTTTCTACATTTAGAGATATCTCCTGAAAAATTGCCCTAACAGATAATAGAAGAGTTAAGAAAATGCAAACATATAATTTTAAAGCAACCTCTTTGCAGTTGTGCATCTTTCCCCTTGTAACATGGGAGTGGAGTCCTTATCTTCCTATTTCCATAATGAAAGCTCCCCAAGCACAGGCCACTGTGGCAGATTTACAGCCCTGGAGCAAGAGAAGTGACAGGCATTTTAATATGAACGGAGATATGAGGTCTTTAATGTACAGTGATGTCACTTCTAACAAGGTAGAAAGTGGGGGCAGGGAACGGATGGGACTTTTCATCTGTTTGTTTGTTTCCCCTTCTCACTCCAGTCACCAAAGCAAGTGAAACCTGCCCGCTACGTCAGTGACCTTTTTTCAACTGGGAAAAGGTCGCAAATAATTGATAAAATAAGGGAGGAGATTCTGTTTATTCAGGTGGAAGGCACATGCTCAGGTTAAGGGAAGGGTACAGACCTTCCTTGGGCATGCATTAACCAAAATAAGGTAAAGCCAAAAATAGTCTCTAGACAGAAATTAGTTTGGGAGCATATAAGGGCAAGACGTGGTAACGAATGTCCTCAAGGGGTGTTAAAATGAATCGCTTATTGGATGTTGACCCTCTTGGATATGGCCTAGGAACTTCTATCTAGTCTGATTGGTTGGTCAGAGAACAGGAATGACTGGTGCAATAGTGCTGTGTTGCAGAGCCATCCTCCTGACTTGGAATAGGCAAATCCATCAAGTTCTGTTTCTTCTCGTTTCTCATTTTCTTCTGGTCTTCAGTCCTTCCCAATTTCCACATCAATCTGCAACTTTTGATGAAGTCCTCATGGAAATCCACCGTCATCTCAGTGCACAGTTCTTCTAATACTTTTGCAAAGCATTCTTTCCATAACATAACATAATGCATTTATTATCTCCAATACAGTGGTACCTCAGGTTACAGACGCTTCAGGTTACAGGCTCTACTAACCCAGAAATAGTAACTCGGGTTAAGAACTTTGCTTCAGGATGACAACAGAAATCGTGCGGCAGCGGGAGGCCCTATTAGCTAAAGTGGTGCTTCAGGTTAAGAACGGACTTCCGGAACGAATTACCGTATTTTTTGCTCTATAAGACTCACTTTTTCCCTCCTAAAAAGTAAGGGGAAATGTGTGTGCGTCTTATGGAGCGAATGCAGGCTGCGCAGCTATCCCAGAAGCCAGAACAGCAAGAGGGATCGCTGCTTTCGCTGCGCAGCGATCCCTCTTGTTGTTCTGGCTTCTGAGATTCAGCTTTATTTTTTTTCTTATTTCTCTCCTCCAAAAACTAGGTGCGTCTTATGGTCTGGTGCGTCTTATAGAACGAAAAATACGGTAAGTTCTTAACCCAAGGTACCACTCTATATGCATTTGTATGCACACTGGATATGCACTTTTGAAAATATTTCTTGGCTGAGTCAACGGGAGAAAATGCCTGCTCTGCAATGTTCTGTAGGCTATGATGCACCAAGTAACATTTATCCAAGTGCTCTTACAGGTTTCTGCAATATGCAAAACTGTTTAGATTCTATGATCTTTCAGCCCCTCCCCAACCTTCTCTCCTTGGAAAAAGTTAATGAATGAATGGGTCAGTTGACAGCCTGTGGGTCACTTGGGTGCATTGCTGCCAGCTTTATGGACTTCCATGTCAGTATGGATTTCATTCATTGTATGATCCCAAAACTGCGCTTGTGGCCTTGCTTGACAATCTTTCTCTAGAGACTGACAGGCAAACTTATACTACATTGACCCTATTAGATCTTTCTCTGGCCTTGGGTACATATGACATCAAGAGGTGTTAGGGACACAGTGGTGGGACCTGAGAGGCATTTACATGCCAGCAACTCCATTTGTTCTCCAAAGAACTTTCCCAAAAGGTAACAATGAGTAATTGTGCAATGTTCCTCTGGCACCTCCCTTATGGAAAGATTTATAGGTGTCTCATTATTAGTTTTTACTCTCTCTAACTAGGGCTGGATTTAGGTTTGATGAGGCCCTAAGCTGCTGAAGGTAATGGGGCCCATTATATGTCCAGCTGTCCTTTGTCAACAACAAATTGTCACTGTTTTTTGTGTTAAATATATGCTATATGGTAATTTATGGACCTAATAGGTATCTAAAGCCATTTGCCACTGTTGCTGCATGTAGGTTTTATTTTATTTGTTTTTTATCTCATATTTTGTAAATATACATCAAGGTTTTTTTTCCTTTAACCTTTTTTGGGGGCCCCAAGAGAGTGGGACCCTAAACTATAGCCTGTTTAGCTTATACGTAAATCCAGCACTGTCTGTAACCCTTGGTTGTCAAATATATATTCCATATAAGCAGTGCTATCCTAAACCTGGTTTCTACGCAGTGAGTTCCATTGAGCTCAGTGGGTCTTACATTCAGAGTAATCTTGCTTAGGAATGCATTATTAGGATGCAATCCTAAACACTAAAAAGCATAACCCAATGAATATGGTACAACTTACTTCTGAGTAAACATGCATAAGAGTCTGCTGCTAATCACTTGCTTCGCAGGGGCAAGATCTTGCCTTGTTTGGAAAAAAGAGCCCTGGTTTAATTTTAAGTGGTGGTTATATTTTTACTGTTAATAATGCTACTAAATTAGGTATTGCTGTGCTGTTCAATAAGCTTTATAGTTGCATAGAACATTTATGCTGCTGCACACCACCCCTGTCTCCAAGCAGTGTGAGATTCCATGCCGGCCACATGACCCGAAAGCTGTACGCCGGCTCCCTCGGCCAATAAAGCGAGATGAGCGCCGCAACCCCAGAGTCGGTCACGACTGGACCTAATGGTCAGGGGTCCCTTTACCTTTACCTTTATACAGCTCTTGGGACTCTTCCCAGCAATACTCCTTCTCCCCAGGCAACACTCTTCAATGTTGCTGCTTTGCATGAGCCTCTGGTGGTTTAGCCTGGCTGGAATGTGTCATTGAAACTGATAATGCTTTTTGCTTGCCTGGATGGTGCATAGAGAGTGGTATGTGCGTGTGTGTCACAACTAACCTACTGTACTGGACCTAATGGTCAGGGATCCCTTTACCTTTACCTTACAACCTTAGCCTACAACGGAGGAGGTCACAGCATTAACACCCCACAAAGGTTCTGCTTCTCCCATCGCCACAGCCTTGGATTAAAACAGAAATCAAACATGGTTCTGACTCTCCAGCTTGCTGCTTTTCCTCTTGCTGACATCACTGCAACTCTCTGCTCTCAACTCTGGCTTTGTCCTTCTAACTGAATGGAGTTAAAAGGAGGGAGCTCCACCAATTTGCCATTTCCTAGAGACCCCTTAATGGCCCCTCACCCAGGCTGTCACCTCACCAGGAGTCAAGTCTGTCTATTCCAAGAATTAGAAGCCTTGATTAGATTTTAACACTTGCTAGATCCAGGGATCGGAAGGGTCCCAGCATACAGCCTAACCCCCCCCCAACCCCCACCCCTCATAGCACTACTTTGGTTTTATATAGCCTCCTTTCCATAGTGATTTATTTCTACCAAGTTATTCTGATGGCTACTTCTGCAGTACAATAACTGCCCCAGATTTTGGAATGGAATCAAAGAGGGGGGGGGGAGAGAAAGAAGTTATCAGGTGTTTTCATATATTTCTCAGAGTAGACAGCTTAGGGGCCCTCTAGATACCACCAAACTCCAACACTCCCATACCTGACCATAACCATGTTGGGTAGGAATAATAGGAGATGGAGTCCAACAATATATGACTTGGCTACCCTTGGCTTGGGACGTGGGTGGCGCTGTAGGTTAAACCACAGAGCCTAGAACTTGCCGTTCAGAAGGTCGGCGGTTCGAATCCCCGCAATGGGGTGAGCTAACGTTGCTCGGTCCCTGCTCCTGCCAACCTAGCAGTTCGAAAGCACATCAAAGTGCAAGTAGATAAATAGGAAGCGCTCCGGCGGGAAGGTAAACAGCATTTCCGTGCGCTGCTCTGGTTCGCCAGAAGCGGCTTAGTCATGCTGGCCACATGACCCAGAAGCTGTATGCTGGCTCCCTTGGCCAATAAAGCGCTGCTCTGGTTCGCCAGAAATGGCTTAGTCATGCCGACCTAGCAGTTTGAAAGCACGTCAAAGTGCAAGTAGATAAATAGGTACCGCTCCAGCGGGAAGGTAAACGGCATTTCCGTGCGCTTCTCTGGTTCGCCAGAAGCGGCTAAGTCATGCCAGCCACATGACCCGGAAACTGTACGCTGGCTCCCTTGGCCAATAAAGCGAGATGAGTGCCGCAACCCCAGAGTCGGTCATGACTGGACCTAATGGTCAGGGGTCCCTTTACCTTTACCTTTTTACCCTTGGCTTAGGCTAATGCCAACTTATTTGGCAATTATTTTTCTGGGTAAACATGCATAGGATTGCACTGTTTGCTTATCATTACTGTTTATTCCATTGACCTAAATGTACATCCATTCAGTGAAAAGCGTCTTCTTTCCATTTTCTCTCTCACACTAACAGCTATCTTGAGAGATGCTTAAAGGCACATCTCTGGGCATAATGAATGAAAACGTTCGACGAGACCACAAGAACATTTCCAGATGGATCACACCCATGGCATGCTGCTGCAGATGGAATGTGTTTCAGGAACTGTAACTCAGTGTGCTGAATCTGTTTAGCAATTAGAATGCCTATGTTGACAAAGACAAATAAAAAATAAATAAAAAATCAGCCAAAGATAGTAATGAGAGACTATAGTCATGGCTCCAGTGGAACATATTATTAACATTAACCTTAGCACTAGGTCATGCACTGTCCCTTCTAATGAGTGATGTTAGGGCTTCTCTGACAGGCTGATTCCAAGCAGAAGAGTAACATAACCTTTCTATTTGATTATGCCAAGAGGCATATATGAACTGCAGAAGGCTAGACAAGCCTAGCCCTGTATTATAAAGAATAATTTGATTTCCATCCTATTCCCTTCCCTGGCCTTTTAATTTCCTGCCAGCAAAGGGGAGTCCAACAGTCCAGTCGTATACACATGAATCTGGCAGTTAAATCCCATCAAGTTCTACAAGACTTACAGTCCTCAGCGTATTTACTCAGAAGTAATTTCCAGTATACACAATGGGACTCGTTCGCTGAGTACTGTTGTTGTTGTTGTTTAGTCGTTTAGTCGTGTCCGACTCTTCGTGACCCCATGGACCAGAGCACGCCAGGCACTTCTGTCTTCCACTGCCTCCCGCAGTTTGGTCAGACTAATGTTTGTAGCTTCGAAGACACTATCCAACCCTCTCGTCCTCTGTCGTCCCCTTCTCCTTGTGCCCTCCATCTTTCCCAACATCAGGGTCTTTTCCAGGGAGTCTTCTCTTCTCATGAGGTGGCGAAAGTATTGGAGCCTCAGCTTCACGATCTGTCCTTCCAGTGAGCACTCAGGGCTGATTTCCTTAAGGATGGATAGGTTTAATTCAAAAGCATCAATTCTTCGGCAATCAGCCTTCTTTATGGTCCAGCTCTCACTTCCATACATCACTACTGGGAAAACCATTGCTTTTACTATACGGACCTTTGTTGGCAAGGTGATGTCTCTGAGTACTAGGTGTGTGCATAAGATGGCAGCCTAAATCTAGGATAGGTATGCACATGATTACAGCCCAAGAGTCTCAGAGTACACACTCAAGAGAATTGAATGTGGATGAAAGGATACAAGAATGCTTTAGCATCTTAAAGGCTGATTTGTTGCAGCATCTTTGGCATTCAAGAGCTTACTTAACTGATTGATTGATTGATTGACGGCATTTACATCATACTTTTTCCTCCAAGGAGCTCAAGGTGGTGTACATGGTTTTCCTCCTCCTCATTTCATCCGCACAACAACCCTGCAAAGCAGATTAAGCTGAGAGGCAGTGGCTGGTACAAAGTCACCCAGTGAGCTTCATAGTTGAGTGGGGATTTGTTTTTTTGTTGTTTTTTAATAATTTTTATTAAAGTTTTAAACAAAGAAAAAAGAAAAACAACACACAAGAAAAAACAATACAAAATTTAACAATAAAAACACAAAACATAACAATTAAAAACCAACTCTCTTTTCCATTCCCAATTTTAAATTACTTATTTTCTGGACTTCCTGATACCTCCCTCTTTTGTATGCCAATCTACATTATTTGTCCAGCAGTTTCTTTTCCACTTTTTTAAACCCAATCTTTAGTTTAATAAGATATTAAAATATATAACTTCAACTTTTTTAAGCCTAATCCTTGTTCTTAATGTCATATACCTTTAAATTTTTCCCTTTTATTATCAAATTTCCATTTCTTTAAACATCTTTAATCTTGATCTTTAATCTTAATTTATCCTTAACTTTAACCTGTACAGCTGGAAACCACTTATTTTCAATCCAACATCATTCTAACATTCCTTAATTTTGCAGTGTTTCTGAAGATAGTCTTTGAATTTCTTCCAGTCTTCCTCCACCGACTCTTCTCCCTGGTCACGGATTCTACCAGTCATTTCCGCCAATTCCATATAGTCCATAAGTTTCATCTGCCATTCCTCCAGCGTGGGAAGTTCTTGTGTCTTCCAATACTTTGCGATGAGTATTCTTGCTGCTGTTGTTGCATACATAAAGAAAGTTCTATCCTTTTTTAACACCATTTGGCCCACTATGCCCAGGAGAAAGGCCTCTGGTTTCTTAGGAAAGGTATACTTAAATACCTTCTTTAATTCATTATATATCTTTTTCCCAGAAAGCCTTAATCTTTGGGCATGTCCACCAAAGGTGAAAAAATGTACCTTCAGTTTCTTTACATTTCCAACATTTGTTATCGGGCAAGTGATAAATTTTCGCAAGCTTGACTGGGGTTATGTACCACCTGTATATCATTTTCATAATATTCTCTCTTAAGGCATTACATGCCGTAAATTTCATACCTGTGGTCCATAACTGTTCCCAGTCAGCAAACATAATGTTATGTCCAACGTCCTGTGCCCATTTAATCATAGCCGATTTTACCGTTTCATCTTGAGTATTCCATTTCAGCAGCAAGTTATACATTCTTGACAAATTCTTAGTTTTGGGTTCTAACAATTCTGTTTCTAATTTGGATCTTTCCACCTGGAAGCCAATTTTCCTGTCCAATTTAAATGCCTCCATTATCTGATAATAATGAAGCCAGTCTCGCACTTTGTTTTTAGTTTTTCAAAACTCTGCAATTTCAGTCTATCTCCGTCTTGTTCCAAAATTTCCCAATATTTCGGCCATTTGACCTCCATATTGACCTTTTTCAAGGCTTTCGCTTCCATTGGTGACAGCCACCTTGGGGTTTTATTTTCTAACAAATCCTTATATCTTAACCAAACATTAAATAGCGCTTTCCTCATAGTTGAGTGGGGATTTGAATCCTGGTCTGACACTCTAGTACTCTAACCACAAAACCACACCGGCTGATGTACACAATTGTGGTTGTCTGTAATGCAGGCATTGTAAGTGTAGGTGAACACACAAGCACAGACATACACTGGATACTTGATGGAAAAGAAATAGTTATAAGGAAGGCTGAAAAATCACACCCAACATTGCTAGGCAAGCAAAGAATTTGCACAACATCACAACATTTGAGTTTTTATTTTTAATTTTTTTAATTATCGCATCTACAGATCCAATAACCAAATAAGCAAACAAGCATGAATCGTCTAATCCTAAACTGCACAGATAGTATACATAAATGTTAAATATTCAGTTTGACCAATGTACCTAAATATTTACTTGAAGCCACATCCACTCCATACATCCATAAAATTTTTAAAATAACAACCACAAATATCAAGTCATTAATGGTTTTAAATTCTAAATGCCATTATAAAAATATTATTTAAGTAATATGCATGTGATATTATTTTTGTTTGTAGTTAGTTGGCCAACCAATATCTTGGAGCAATTAAATTTGCCAGGGTTTAAGATGTGCTTATAGTGAGTATTTTTTGGCAAAGAAGTGATTGGACAGGCATTGTAATCTTCCTTGTAAATCTTCCATGTAAAACTGTTCTCCCTCGCTTATGCTTTTTTTAATGTATGTGCATTTTTAGCTAACGATGTCCCTGAGCTTATAGAAAGACTACTTGAAGTCATAGGTGGTAAAACTGTCCTACAGGTATGCTTTTTGTTGATCACGTGTGGAACGACCTATTTGAATGAGCTATAGCATCCTTGTGATGGAAGTGGGGTAAGTCCACACTATGAGCTTATTGTATTGTATACTTGCTTTGTGCTTTAATAGATACATATTGCATTTTGACAATGAAGTGAGATGGCAGCACAGGAGCAAAACCTGCAAAACTCCCTTGTGATCTTAGCAGAAGCAGAAGCTTGTTAATGCCAAAATAGTGGCTTGGTCCATCTCTTTTAGTCCCACAGATTCCAGTAAAAACATGGCAGCTATATGCAGTAACAAGGAATCCCAATATTCTATCTGGTAATATTCTATAGCAGATCACTTAATTCAGTATACAGGCAGCCCACCCAGCCCACCCGGTTTATGCACGTTCAATATGTGCCCAATTGTGTATAAGCACATCGCGCCAAACCTGAAAGTGGCCTGGAATTGTCCTAAAGACGTCACTGAAATGGGGCGGTGTGGGGTGTTTGCAGCTACATAAGGGAGCTGTTGCATTACAAAGCACTACGTAGAAGCTCTCATGCTGTCCAGGCAGTGATGGCCTTGTTTCAGATGCCCTTCTTAATCAATCGTATTGGAGGGGGAGGAAGAAATACCTTTGACCTGCCTGTACGCAAGAATGAGATTGGCTGAAAATATAGTGTAAGTCTGTCTGGTGTTAAAGCTCTGATGTTGTGTTCAGCAAGAAATCCACTCGGATCAATGCCATCCAAGCACAACTATCAATAATCAGAAGGATGTATGACAAGAACTAATGTTTTATATCACAAAGTAGGTCTTGTTCACACAAACAGTTAGCTTTTGGATTCTGGGCAAACAGGCTGATGAATAAAAGTGACAAGTGCTTTTTTATGCCTGCTTTTAATGTAATTGCTTGCTGCCTTTAACCCTGTTTACTGTATATTTGGTTAATTTAAAATATTGACTGAAGTTTTTGCTTGCAAAGCTCTGTTCTGTAATGCAGATTACTATGCATCTAAATGGGCCTTTTTGCCTTAGATCTTCCTACCAGAGACCCTCTGAGAGATGATCTTTGTTTTGTTCCGTATCAATACCCATTTTCCAGCTGCACACAAGATGACAATAATACATTGCTTCTTTTATACAAGGCAATAAATGACCTTAATAATGTAATACTTATTTAAGGGGCAGCATGGCTTGTTAAACTGGGAAAAGAATGAAGATCAAGAAAGTTCCAGAGATGTTCCAGAGAAGCGGACACGGAGCAATGGATCCAAACTACAAGAAAGAAGATTCCACCTAAACATTAGGAAGAACTTCCTGACAGTAAGAGCTGTTCGACAGTGGAATTTGCTGCCAAGGAGTGTGGTGGAGTCTCCTTCTTTGGAGGTCTTTAAGCAGAGGCTTGACAACCATATGTCAGGAGTGCTCTGATGGTGTTTCCTGCTTGGCAGGGGGTTGGACTCGATGGCCCTTGTGGTCTCTTCCAACTCTATGATTCTATGATTCTATGATGTTGGCAACTGTCTTTCTCGAGACAATGGAGTGCACCTCCAGGGGTGAAGTCAAACTGCTGGGAAATCACAGCGCCTGCTGTGGCTGCAGAGACCGGTAACTCATAACTTCTGCCTTCTGCATTGTTTTTTCTGCATTAGCAGCACTGAAGTGACATCCTCAGGGCGCAAGCCCAGGAACTGTGTATGGAGGTCCTGGCCTGCCCAGATGACAAGAGCTCATTGATGTGGGCCAAAGGAAAGCAGAGCAATATGTTTGGCACCAGTTGCTGGAAGGAAGCATACAAGATTCCATCCAGCCCTTTTCACAATGTCACAATTCTCTGAGATGGGAAATGCAATGACTCATGATAGGGTATTCTCAAGAGTGGCACCCGACTCTGGCATGTCCTCCATTCTCAGGTGCAATCAATATCAACACTAATTGAATTTTGACACCAGGGGGGAAATGTGTCCATTCTTCCAAGCATTTGTCTTGGCTGATGTAGTTCTGTTGTTGGTTTATTGTCTGATTTTAGATTAAATAGTATTTTAATGAAATATTGTTTTATTGTATATTAGTGGTATTCCTCACTCTGGGATTGTGTGAATAATGAAGAGCAGGTTATAAATAATTTAAACAAACATGTATATATGCAAACTGGAGTTGACCCAATGGGTTCCCATGACCTAGAATCTTCTGGGGCTGTGTGTGCATATGGAGCCATTTTCTTCGGCATCAAGTTTGACTTGTGCACCCAAGGAGTTTTGCGTGCACCTTCTGTGGCACATGTACATTGGTGTTGCACCAATGCCTTTCTTGCTGCTAGGGCTTCACTTCTAAGAAACTGGGCTTGTTTGCAACTTTTTTTAAAAAAAATGGTGCCTAATATTTACTGAAATCAGCTGAATGTTGACAGGAAAATATAATCAATAATTTCAGAAAATAAATTAAGCCATGTGACAATGTAGCAGCAACCTTCCTTCTTCAAATCTGAATAATGAAGAAGAGGGTGACAAAGAGCAGCAAAAGACGGGTGTTTGAAAGCCTTGGTTTTTTACTAATTAGAGCTCTGGAAAAAAATCGTCATCATCACTGGACTCAGCCCTGAAACACAGAAGCAAACGAACAGCCCTGGTTCAATTTTCAGTTTGTGCTTTTGAGTCAGCTCCGGGGTTGCCTTTGATATGTTACATGCTCATGAACTTTCCATCAATTATAGATGTGAACTTTTTCACTCTGCTGAGTTGTTTGTAAATACTGTGAGGTAGCTTTGCCCCAGATCATACCAACTTAGAACTTCAGAATGGGGGAAAAAACACATACAAAGTTATATGAGATTATCTTCTCCTACACCTATGACTGGCTAGTTAGTTTTGATATGTTTATATTTCTGTCCATCTGCCCCTTTATCCTTTGACCCCACCTGAATCAAAGCCATTCATAAACTGCCCCCTCACCTCCGCTTAGCTAGTAATAACTTTGCCGTGAAAACTTTTCCAGAGTTCATTCATGAAAACCAAAGTCTACTGTAAACGCTCCGTGCAAAGTTAGCTGTGCGCTTGAATGATTCCCACAAAATGCTAACAATATGGAGGCAACTGAGGTAACCCACTATCCGTTGCAGGATAGACAGACTAGGTAGCTAGGAGTGGAGGCAGAAAGTTTGCAAGAGTGAGAACTGCCTGGGAATGAAGGAGAGAGACGATTCAGAACCCATGTAATTTGCACTTCTTGAAACATTACATAAACCAAAGAGCAGCTATCCTACAAAATTCACACTTCTCTGAATTTTGCAATGCAGTCATGCAACTAAATATTGTGTAAAAATGTGCACAGTGGTACCTCAGGTTACATACGCTTCAGGTTACATACTCTGCTAACCCAGAAATAGTACCTCAGCTTAAGAACTTTGCTTCAGGATAAGAACAGAAATCGTGCTCCTGCGGTGCAGCAGGAGGCCCCATTAGCTAAAGTGGTGCTTCAGGTTAAGAACAGTTTCAGGTTAAGAACAGACCTCCGGAACGAATTAAGTATTTAACCCGAGGTACCACTGTACATTGGGCAAAATTGGAGGCAAAAATATGTTTTATTAGGTAAAATGTGCACTACAATAGTAAAGCCTATTTAAAGCACATTTAGTTCCTCCCCTCAAAGGTAATTTACCCTTCATCGTGCTACAATACCTAGCACACTTAACAGACTACAGTTCCCAAGCTTCTTTGGGGAGGTGCTTTAAATGCAGGGTGAATATGGAGTCAAAGATGAGTGTCTTTCCCAACTCTGACTGGAGAAGCTGGGGCCTTTTACATGCAAAGCATGTGCTCCACTCATTGAGCTAAGGTCTTTCCCCTAAGTATTTTGCCTCTGTCCTGGATGACTGAAAATAAGCTGCGAGTTTCTGCCAATCAACATTTCAGATCAAGAATATCTTAGTATGTGGTTGCATCATGCAGGCAGCTTGGCTAATAGCTGATGATTAACTAATATATTCCATTCTAATTGATGTTTCAAACCCAGTTAATATTACTGATTTTTCAAATCAGGAGCAAGATGATTATCAGACAGGCAGCTATTTAAAATTGTTTTCTGAATGTAGGTCAAGTGTTACATTTTCCTGGCATGCATTTGTTATCACTGCTGTTGTCGAGTAGACAACAACACCTATGCAGCTAGGGTAATTCAGAGATTTAACGGCTCTTGTCTGGTGCAATCTCCTTTAATTTCAGGGTGAGGATGTTTCTAATTAACCTGTTTCCAACAGGTTTGCTTTGAAGTCCCTGAAATACCTTGGGACAGTACAAGAACTCAGAAATGTCGGATGTGTTCTAAATCCTGCTTCCTTCTCCATCAGGCTTAGTGGCGTAATATTTTTTTTGCTGTATAACATTATCAGTTGCAACAATTGGGTTATGTATGCTATGATGGAAAGGGAACTCGTTCAGTTGATCCTTGCACTAGACTTGTACATGCTTTTGGGGTTTCATCAGTAATTAGGATAATGGACTTGGTCTTGATTTTCAGAAGAAAACAACCATAATGCCTTAATGTTTTCTATGGCAGCATTCTGAGCAAAATATATTTTAGCTTTCACATCTAAATGATGTTTGTTTTGTGGTCTTGACCTGCCTGTCTAGATTAGGTAGCATCCCATTTAAGAGGGGGTTGGGTGGGAGGGAGACAATTTATTATCAATACATTAAATAGCCTCCTCAGTTTATTAATAGCTGTATCCATTACAGAAATGTTTCTGAAGTCTTTCCTGCAATACTGGCATTACTGCTAGCTAAACTATGACAATTTTTCCTGCTATCATTAATCTAGTGAGCTCACCTTTAAAATGTCCATCTTTTTGGCTTTATTCTCCCCTTTGGCATTTTGCCAGTAACTTTTTGCTCTTTTAGCCTTTTTTTTTTTTTTAAAGCTACCTAAGTGGATGAAGTAGGACATGCACAAGTCTTGAGATTCACGTTAAGTGGTTTTCAGAAAGCAAGGAGCAGGAGCAGAAATGTGAATTTCATAATGAAAAAAGGAAGGCTCCAGGCTCCAGAATGTATCTGTAATCATTTACGCCCCACGTGGTAGTATGTTTTGGATATGGAGCTAAAAATTGCTGGTCCACTGCAAAAAAAGGATACTAATAATTCCTTTGAAAGTGTTATATACAATAATACCCAGCCCAGGCGTAATTTCTCACCAGTTGTTCAAGACTTTCATACAATTCTGTAGCAGCTAAAAGGTATGGCTGAATAGGACATATTTACTGAGTTCAGAAACTTCTGTGTTCCTATTTCTCCCTGTTACTTACACTAACCTAAAGCCTAATGGGGTTGATAGAGAACTAAAAACATGGCTGCCAGTTTCACTAGATCTTCTTGCAGCAAATGGTGCTGAAGTTTAAATTATTTCCCATATAAAAACTGTTTGAAGTAGATGTTGTTGTTTCTTTGATTTTTACTGATTTATTCTTTAAAATAAATATTGCCTTTTTTTCACAGGAAGCTATCTTATATTGGGCCAGAACATTAGTCCATCTAGTTCTCTATTTTCTGCGCTGACTGACAGCAGCTCTCTAGGCAGGAGTCTACCTGATGACACCAGGGATTGAATCTGGAACCTTTGGCATGCAAATCAGGTGCTCTACTACTGAGCTATAACTCTTCCCTTTGCAAAGCTGATGATTTCTCTTTAGAATAAGAAGGAGCTATGATGCAGTCCAGATTATGCTTGGACCAGGGAGGGACTATGTTATGATGGTGGGCTCAGCAAGGATGTCTTTAAGGGGAACAGTGGCGGAGGACGTCTCTCTGGCACTCGGTGTGGGGTGCCGAGGGGTGGGGCAAACCACCCGGATGCGCACACACGGCACCAATACGGACAGCGCTCAAACGACGCCCGTACAGATGGCGCACGTGGCGCCCATATTGACAGCGTGCATGCGGCGTCCATTCCAATGGCGTGCGAGCAATGCCCGTACCAACAGCGCATGCGTGCCCTCGACCACCCTACAGCTGGGGGGGGGAGGCAGCGGGCAGTCAGCGCAGAGCCTGTGGGCACCTGAGAAGCGTGGCTTGGGCACGCTGCAGGCCCTGCGGTGAGTGCCGCGCACCATTGTGTCACTCCCCCCTCAGGGTGACACCTGGGGCGGCCTGCACCCCCCACCCCCCTTTGTACGCCCCTGAAGGGGAAGAGACCCTCAAGGGAACTCCTGGTGGATGGTGGGAGTAGACTTCACTAAGCACCACTGTTACACCATTTCTCCATTTCAGTAAGATTTGTATGGAATGCCCATTTCTTAAAAGCCTTTGCCGTGTGCTTAGAGTTACATATGTTACAGCACTACTTCATAGCAGGATTTCATCACCTATATCATCATTAAAGCAATTATTTCAGAAACAGTAGTCTTCAGTATGCTTGTAGTAGCCAGGATCATATATTGCCAAGTTTTATTTCTGCCTTGTCTATATAAATATATAGGAGCATTAGAGAGCTGCTTTGGCTGCAGATGTAATAGATTTATTTAACTAGCCCATCAGTGTGACAGGTTTTATTTATTTTCATTTTCCTATTGTAATGATAATATAAATCAGCAGCAAGCCTCAGCAACCAGGATTCAAACGGGTGGAGGGAGCAGATGAGCGAGTGCTGAAGAGGCTACAGTGTCATGGTCTGGTTGGACACAAAGGAATGGTGGGAGAAACCAGTTGGGGAACCCCCAAGGGAAGAAGGCTCAGAGCCTGCCCGGGAAAGTGGTGGGACAATGATGACTGGTCAGATGGAGAAGACTGGGAGAAGGAGGCAGAGCCGTTGCTACGGAGCGGGGGCCTAGCTGGGGTTTTTGTCCCGAGTGAAGCCTCCAGAGGGGCACCATTGAGGCTCCCAGTCTGTGTGTACACAAATGTGTGTGTGTGTACGCATGCGTGCCAAACTGGGTCTTGTTTCGCCCTTGGGAGGGGGTGTCAGAAGCTGAGGAGGTAATAGGGCTTAGTGATCTAGGAGAGTCTGTGGCTAAGAGAAGTCCAGAATCAGAGAAAGAAGCTGAAGAAGGAAGGTGGGAGGAGATGAATGAGGCACAGATGAGTGAGCCTGGTGCAGAGTCACAGATGTCTCCCCCTCCTGCTGCAACAAACTCCCCTACTTTCATCTCTCCCAGAACCAGAAGAGGCATGAAAAGGGCAAAGGAGAGATTGGTGACACAGTCTCTTATTGCTTGGGGGGAAAACCTGAATAGGAGAGGACTTAGGCAGCTGTGGGGAGGCAGGGGACCTTCAGTCTCAGCAACTGCTCCATGGGGGCAAGACCTACCGGAGATGAGTTGCTGTGCTTATTAGCACTCCTGTGCAGATTGTGGTTTTCTTAATAAAGAGGTAACTCCAACTTGCACAGTGTTATTTACTGCTGGCTCACTCCTGACACAGTCCTGGAGAACTGTACATTGACCCAAGTGGGTTGCAGCAGTCACACTGACCCAATGGCTAACAAGTGGCTTAATAGGACAGGCAAACAGGGAGATTTTCAGCCATCCAGGGCCGAAAGCCCCAGGTTGGGGGTGGCCAACCTAGTGAGCAGAACATAATAATTGCATTCAAAATGCAACTTGCTTAACTGATCGGCTATAGACAGAGAAGAATGTGGCATTGTGTTAAAGTACTGATAACAAGGGCTCTAAATTGGGATCCTTCTTTCAGGTGTATTTATTTATTTCAAAAACTTATATCCCACTTTACAACCTCAAGAAGTTCTCAAAGCATCTGTACAAAAGAATTGCATAATAGAATCCTATTCAAGACCAGTATCAGGGACATGGGTGTCCATATGGTGCCAGGATTATACAGGCAGCATTTCCTGTCCTCCTCATTAGTCTTCCCTGGTGTCACTCTTTGGCTACGTCAGTCTTCACCAGCCTGTGTCTTCCAGATATTTTGGAGTACAACTCCCATCAGCCATAGCCAGCACAGCCGCAGCAAAGACTTCTAGCCCAAAACATGTAGAGGTCACCACCAAGTTGAACATCCGGCTAGGCAACAGGCCCCGTTGAGGACCTCTCAGGTAAATCAGTGAGGCAGATTTGCTCAGTTGAATTTGCTCAGCCCATGATGGAAGCAAATATTCATTTCCTGGCAGTGTGTCAGAAGCTGAGGCAATGAGTTATGCAGCTGAAAACCATTTCTTCTTTGAGACTGCAATCCTACACACTTACCTGGCAGTAAGTCCCATTGGAACTTACTTCTGAATAGACATGCCAATCACTACTGCTATTTTAGCATTAAGAAGGTGAAATAAATTAGCTTTAAGCCTGAGACAACTCACATTGGTTCATTGATTTGTTTACTGACATTCCCTTTCTTAAAACTTAAGGGGGGGAAATCAAAACAATACAATGACACTTCATTAGTGTTAGATTTCACTGGTGAAATTACCGTACAATGATTCTGAAGTGAAAGGAATGCCCATTTGGTCATTACTTTCAAAGTAATGGTTATCACTTTAAACTGTACTATGCAAATCACTAAGACATAGATTTCACCTTGAGGGTCAGAGTTCATTTTAGGCCACCTATTTTGACACTAGGTTTGAACTGTATATCAGTTATTCATGACTGCAATTCCACCCCTACCCCCCCCCCCAAATTGGACAAGTCATTTTCACATCTGCAATAACCGCTAATGGTAATTATTTAATCAGCCTTTGGTATGCATATTGTGTCCTTTTCTTCTCCTGCTTGATACCTACACTTGTGTAGATTTGAACTTTCATATCCTTTCTGTATTATGCAATAGACGAGGGGTCACACATGTTTCTCTGCTTTGAATAATACATCTCTATGAAGTCTTGGTATATTAACTGTTGGAAAATTTGTTTCTGTCGTTTTAATATTTTATCATTTTTTGTCCTAAGTCGATGACCTTAACTGGTTGCAGTTCATTTCATTTCTTTTCTGCTTAAATATTTTAAAGGCTCTGAAGTACAAATATCAATCATATTGGGTGTTAAGAAAAATGCCAAACTTGAGATTTGGGTTATTTAATTGCAATTGTCAAGTTGTATTTAAATTCTTTTCTTTTCTTTTCCTTTTCCCCTGCACAGTTTTTCCTCTCTCTTCCCATGTAGTTTTCGGCCATACAGTGGTGCCTCGCAAGACGAAATTAATCCGTTCCGCGAGTCTCTTCGTCTTGCGGTTTTTTCATCTTGCGAAGCACGGCTATTAGCGGCTTAGCGGCTATTAGCGGCTTAGCGGCTCTTAGCGGCTCTTAGTGGCTTAGCGGCTATTAACGGCTTAGCGGCTATTAACTGCTTAGCGGCTTTAAGAAAAAGGAAACAAACTCGCAAGAACTCGCAAGACGTTTCGTCTTGCGAAGCAAGCCCATAGGGAAATTCGTCTTGCGGAACGACTCAAAAAACGGAAAACTCTTTCGTCTAGTGAGTTTTTCGTCTTGCGAGGCATTCGTCTTGCGGGGCACCACTGTATTACCTATTTTCACTGCAAAATACAGAAAGAGACAGGAAAGAAAAGGGACCAGTCCAGCAGATAAGTTTATTTAGCACCATCAGTGTGCACAGCAGTTGCGGGATTTAAAAGGATCTGTCCCTGTTCTGAGGAACTTACTAGGGACATCTTAGATGGGCCACAGGGCCGTCTTACCCATAGGCACTAGGGGTGCAGGGCACCCAGGCGCCGGGCTCTCAGGGGCACCGGGCCAAGAGTCCGAGGCCTGAGAGTTGAGTCCGGGGAAGAGCCTGCCTGTCAGTCAGAGCACCACGGTGGGCTCTTCTGCGAGTTTGGGGGCGACCGAGCCAGCGAGACGCTGAGGAGGATGGCTGGTTCCGCCCTCCTGCGTGCCTGGGACTGGGCAACTGGGGGGGGGGGCGCCGGGTGGATCTTTGCACCCAGGCACCACATATGCTTAAGACAGCCCTGATGGGTCACCACCCCTTCCTCCTGCCTTCTGCCACCTCCTCTTCCCTCCTGTCACTGGCTCCTCCCCATCCTCCCTGGCCTGTTGCTCTCATACTGTGCTCTGAGAAAGTGTCCCTTCATCAGAGGGAAACGTTGTGGATGAAGTGGCTGCACAGATTGTCCGTGCCATTGCTGCTTTGCTGCAACATTCACAAAGCCTGCTTAAAATTTAACAGCCCACATCAGTCAAAATGCCTCACTCTCATGAAGGATCCTTTCCTCAGAGTGAGTTGTGGTGGGCCTGGAGAACTTGGTTGGAGTGCCAGTGACGGCTTTTGTCATGATAGAGGTGCTGTATTCCTTGTGAGTGGGCAGGAGGCAGCTACTGCAGCAATAAATTTACCCACAAGTCTTCGCTGCAGGGGGTGGTTGTGTGGTGTGGTCGCGGTGTGACAGCAGCAGGAAGCCCTATGGGTTGTTGGGGTGGGGCTGCTAAATTCACTACACATCCTAATTTTCTGCTTGAGGGCTGAGGCACTTGCTCATAGAGCCCAGAAGTTTACCGTGTAATATTTGACACAAGGGAAACAACAGAGAAAAGGCAGGGTAGTGGGTGGAGGGTGCTTGTTTCATTTGTACATGCTTAGGCTTAGATACATGCTAAGAGTCCATCCTAACAGTAGATGCCCAGTATCAGGACGAAATGCAGGCTAAAGATTACATCCAACTAAGTTATACTTGGAATGAAGCCATTCAAGTTAATGGGCTTAAGTTAGTCAGGTCTATTAATTTCCATAGGTTTACTCTGGGTATAACATAGGCTGGATACACACCATACTTTTAAAGCACATGACTTCACCCCCCAAAATATTGTTAATAGTCATTTCTTAAGGCTGAAGGGATTGTAGCTCTGTGAGTGGTTGAACTACAGTTTCCATGATTCTCTGGGGGAAATTATGGGCTTTAAATGTATAGTGCGTATTCAGCCTTAGTTGGATACAGCTCTTAAGAGCTGAATACCACCTTGTGGCATAGGCATCTTGGCTTCATTTATCCTTGGGACTCTCTGCAAGGAACACTGAAAGCCAGGCAGGGAGAAATGGCCAAACACTTGGAAATGCGTGCCATGATGGTGTCACAGAAAGGCAGGAGACAAGAGTTCCTTCATCATGGCATTTCACACTGGAAAATCCGCCCCCCCATAGAGACCCACAAGAAATAACTCTATGCAATGTTTGCTGGTGGGTGAAAATACCTTTGCATAGAAAAGCTTCCCAGCTGCTGATAATAGGTGGGAACTGGCGTTATTCAAAGCTACTGCTGTTCTTGTTGCAGTGATGGTCTTCTGTAAGCTCACGGGAAGTAACCTGGTTAAGAGGGGAACACAATGAGAGAGATTCTTTGAAGCTCATTTAATTTATTACATTTTTGGAATGACAAATATGGAGATGATCCAGATTCATACAGCTTGTTTTCTGAGCTGCAATTTGTTAACTGTAATATTTTTAATGAAACAAACAATTGGAATAGCTTACAATTTGTTGCCTTTTTCACTCTTTTGCTTGATTTAATGCTGCAGAACAGCATAGCCTATTCTTTCCCTGTCAAAGACAACAGAAGAGGCACTATTTCTTAAATCAGTATTTTTATTCTGTCCCCCCTATTCACCCACTTTCCAGTGTAAATAATTCCATAATCATATCAAACTCAGAATAAATATTTGTACTATCAATGTTTTTCAAATAAGGCTTAAACAATCCTTTTGGTGTTTGCACACTACTCAGAAATGGCTTTCAACATGCCTAGCAATATCTCCTGTGTTCTGGAAATACAGACCACCTTGTACTGTGTGGCTCCCTTTATTTATTTATTATTTTTTAGTAGTTTTCCTCCTCCTAAATGCATGGTGCATGCAACAATGTCAAAAGTCATAAACCCTATTAGGATGATTAAAACTGCTTTCATTCCTCCATCCCTCCCAAATCCTTAGCTACTAAAAGTGGTTTCAAATAACCTTTTGGGCAGCCCTTCAGAAAGTGCTCAGTTCTGAATACAGTCGTACCTTGGTTGTAGAACACCTTGGTACTTGTACGTTTCGGCTCCTGAATGATCAAAACCCGGAAGTGAGTGTTCTGGTTTTTGAATGTTTTTTTGGAAGCTGAATGTCTGATGCAGCTTTCACTATTGTTTCCGGTGAGCCTGCACAATCTGAAGCCAATCGGAACCTGCACCTTGTTTTGGAAGTCGAATTGACTTCTGGAATGCATTCTGCTCAAAAACCAAGGTACGACTGTCTCTATCCCACAGCTGAGTGGCAACCATATGAAAGAGCTAGACAAGGTGTAGAAAAGAGCAACCCAAATCATCAGAGGACCAGCTCAGCTTCCAGTTGAGGAAAGTCTACAACAAGGGTGGGGAACCTGTGGCTCTCTAGGTCTTGCACAATTCTCATTGACTATGCTGGCTAGTGTGGATAGGAGTTGAAATCTACCAACATCTGTAGGTTTTCTATCCCTGGTCTACCATTTTGGGGTGGGTGCGCAGGGGAACATGATGCAGACAATAAGGCTTTGGGCAGACCAATCTATAACTCAAATTGTCATGCTGGAGGAGGGTTGGATGAGGCAGAAGTGTCTCTTCACCCAGCTCTGCCAGTGGAGAACCTTCACTATCACTAAGATCTCCACCCAACCCTTCAGAATGGAAGCTATCACTAGATGTATCCTTACTGTGGGTAGTCAGCATAAACCTATGAAATGGGGTTTTGAGGGGGAGGGAGGGAGCAAGCAAGGCCAAGCCAGCCTAGGATCCGCTGGATCCTAAGCCAGTCCAGCTACGGGCAAGTTATGCTGAGGCTTGTTTTCTGAGCCAGCCCTGGAGCTGAAGCAGTAAACATTAAGACTTTTCCAGCCCCCCCCCCATCCTGGTGTAAGACCAATTCCAGTGGTGAAGCTGGGGCATCTAGACATGGCTTTTAAATCAGCTTTCCCAGTGATATCTCTGGGATGTTGAGGAAAGAGGTAAGGAGTCTCTGAAAGACTCCAGGGTACACCCTGATCAGTATTAGGAAAAGCAGGATTAAAACTGTGCTTTAAAATTGTGCTGAGAGTATGAGTCTGGAGACCTCAGTTCGCATCTCACCGTGTGACTTTAGTTTGGGCAAGCTTACAAACAATGACCAGGAATCAGTGTAGTCTACCCATTCAGGAAGTATTACTCAATTAATTATATGAGCTTTAATGAATAAGTTAATGATTGAAATTTGTATATTAATAAAACAATCATTGTGAAGAGGAAATGCATGTCCTCAGTTGTCTGCCTTATGAGTCACAGCACACACCATCTTAGAAGCAGCATAATTTCTTGTGTGCGATAAGATGAACACTTCTTCTGAGATCAGGGGTTGTGTCCAATGCTACATGCGTAAAGTTCCATTCACAAAGCTGGGCTTTTCCTTCCTCTCCTTGTGTACCTCTGGAGCAGATATTGAGGTGGGGGGCTGCAGAGGAGAGGAGGGGGGAATTAAGCTGCAGAGTTCGGTAAAATCCTTAACTTTCATCCTTAACTTTCTAACGTGTTACAAATACAGATAATCTGCTGCTTGATTAATTAGAGTTTTTGATCAATTAGAAGTTTTAAAATGGGATAATCTGACCAATTAATCCTCACATTGTTACAACCCTAGTGAGAACCAAACATAATGTGTGTAAAATGCATTAAGAATTAGAAATGTGCTCTATGCATGCTTGGTATTATGATCGACAAAGGAGAATTGCAAGTTGATACTGAGGAGGTGTGAGTTACCCCCCTTTTCAGAGAACTCAGCCAATCAAAAAAACAGGTGTAAAGTACTTTTGCCGGGTCTGGTGTCTGTTATTTTTCAGATGTCTGCCCCACCCTTGACCTTAAATTGTTTCTGAGTTATCTTTCTGCAGCCTGGCACATGTAATCATGATTGCTGTGGACACCTGCTAGTCATTGATTAATGGGGCTGGGAAAGAATCTTATTCAGGCAGGCCTGAAATGACTTTTGGACTTCAGAGGTGAAAGAAGGTTGTCTTCTCAGAGAAGCCCATCTAGGGACCTTTGGATTTTTTCCAGTAGTGGGAAGAATGCTTTTAACGCTGCATGTTTCTGCATCTGTTGACATTCTGGAATTAGATCAGCCACATAACAGAGGATAGAAGAGGGCACCACAGCCCCTAGATTATTTTCTACAAGGGTGTTCACACCTTTGCACGTCCCATTCAATATGTACAATCTGTGTCCACAATAGTTGAGCACTACAAATCCACTCACACAAATGCTTGTACATGGGTAGAAGCAGCTTGTACCTGTGTTCAGTGCAGTGTGTGAGCAAGCCTTATAAAAGTTAGGATAGGGTGTTATCAACAAAGCTATAAGGGCTCTCTGCCTGCTAGGCGGCGATACAGGGAGAAATGAGTGTGATTTCTACAAGCCGTGGGACACCTTCCTATGAGCTACAGACACAGCTATCAACACAGCTGCATGCATTGGGCACAGAAAAGTATATTTGCTTCTTAATTAAAAATATCTAATGTCCACATATTGGAATTTTAAGAATTTTAAGAAATATTACAAGCAATTACGTTGTTTTAGACCATGCATTCAAACCACTATGATACCACATTAAATAGTCATGGCTTCACCCATATAATTTTGGGAGCTGAAGTTTGTTAACAGTGCTGAGAGTGGTTAGGAGGCCCCTATTCCCCTCACAGAACTACAAGTCCCAGAGTGGTTTAACAGTCAATTCCTCTTCACTGGGAACTACGAACTATCATTTTGCCTGAGAGTGTGTTGCCTGCTGCACTGAGCACAGAAGTCGTCCCTTCCCAGAGAGAGGATGTCATCCAGCACAACATTTGCTGTTGGAAAAACAAAATACAAATATTAAATCAAATCAAACGCTGGGAATTGTAGCTTGGGGAGGGGAATAGGGGTCTTCCTACTGCTCTCAGCACCTTTATCAAACTACAGCTTGCAGAATTCTTTGAGGGAAGCCACAGCTGTTTAAAGGGCTTTAAATGTATGGTCCGAATGTGGCCTTAGTCTCCTTTGGTGATCTAGGTGGACAAAGAGAGAGCCAATAGTTATGAAATGAAACCCCAGCATTCAGCTGAAGGTCCATGTATACAGCTGACTGGGAACAATGGCATCTGTATACACAGCCACGGATCATTACAGAAGGACGAGTCAATTAGCCTTTGGCGACACTACATCATGAGCCTGCAAAGTAATTTTTGAATACTTTAGGGGCTGTTGTCAAAAGGACAGTACAAGGAGGGCAATAACGGGCGGGGGGACCAACCACCGTATAAACACTCCAGTGTTCGGAACTCTATCTGATGGCTTACTGTCCAGTAAAAAGGGTTTCATTGTTGTTGTTTTTACAAAAAGTATAACAATTAACCTTTACTTACTACACACCATGAAAAAGCAATAGAAGGTGGTCCAAGGCTACATGTCTCATTTGGCCTGTCTGCTGATGCCTATAGCAGGACGCATTATGTACGGAGTGCAGAGGGCAACCCTCCAGGCCTGTGGGATGCAAACATCTTGCTGAAAAGGTCTTGATCTTTCCCAAGTGTGACAAATAAGTTGTTTCAACTTAGTATGTGGTGCATCACAATTAGTCAGATAATAGGGCACCGCCTTTTAATCCCATGGCAGCCTTATTTTTACTTACTTATTGTATTGTCAAAGCAACCGTGTGGGAGGGTTGATTTGGATTGGAGCGGCAGTACCGGGGAGGGAGTGTTTAATATTTCCCCCCACTTACCATTATTCCAGTTTAGAGCAAACCCACCCACTCAAAGCTGCTATTAGCCCCACTTGAGAAAGAAATGTGCAAATACAAAAGGTACCTGTATTTCCCTCACAGAGAGGCTAATAGCAGTTTGGGGGTGATTGAGACTGGGAAAATGGCACAGAGGGAAAGGGTTACATTTTCCATGTTCCAGAACCGCTGCTTCCCCAGAAAAACTTTCAAGTTAAAAAATAATAATTAAACCCAACAGTAGGAGATCTGATAACATATATCCTGTAGCTTATCTGTTTTGAACCCTAGTAAAGGTAAAGGGACCCCTGACCATTAGGTCCAGTCATAGACGACTCTGGGGTTGCGGCGCTCAACTCGCTTTATTGGCCAAGGGAGCTGGCGTACAGCTTCTGGGTCATGTGGCCAGCATGACTAAGCCGCTTCTGGCGAACCAGAGCAGTGCACGGAAACGCTGTTTACCTTCCCGCCAGAGCAGTACCTATTTATCTACTTGGACTTTGAGGTGCTTTAGAACTGCTAGGTTGGCAGGAGCAGGGACCGAGCAATGGGAGCTCACCCTGTTGCGGGGATTCGAACCGCCGACCTTCTGATCGGCAAGTCCTAGGCTCTGTGGTTTAACCCACAGTGCCCCCCGCGTTCCCGTTTTGAACGCTAGTTAACACCAAAATAACATGTAGAATCTCTGGTATACATATGTATTCCTAGTAAAGGGACTGACACGCTGGGGGTTGAATTCTCTTACAATAAGAGACCCTCAGTCTAAAGCACCTACATCCCAGGTGAGCAGCTATGTGACTACTAGGGATCGGCTCTCTCAGTTCCTCATTTTCTCCAATCTTAAATTCAGTTCTCCACATTTCTGCAGCAATTTGGGAGTTGTGGTTGTTGTTGCTTTAAAAAAAATCCTCATGAAACTTCATCAGTATGTTACTGAGAATTTCTCCGAACTTTTGCATGTAGTTTTGGCTACACACTTTTGCAAGACCTTTCTCCTAAATAGTGTGTTTTTGTATTCTGTCCACCCTATTACTTTGTATATTGGCCAATCAGAAAAGGCTGTGTCATGAAGTATAGCACTGTGATGCACAGAAATAGAAAAAGAACATCACACTAAGCAAGGTGCACGGAAATTTGGACGTGATTTGAAGAGTCTCTCTGCAAAGTTTCACAGTTTGCATTTCCCGTGTGTGGAAAAGGAATCCTTTAACATTTACTATGTAGAAGTAACTACAGAAAATAACTGGTACCGGATTAGGAAGTACTGGTTCTGGTTGCTAGAATGGAGTAAGGTACACTTTGGATATTCCAAGGACTAAACACATGCAGGAAATAAAAGTCCATTAAATTGGAGGGAGAAATGGCAACACTTTAGGATTCATATCTATTGGCTGGTGTCCAAACAACTCACTCATCAATTGCAGCCCTCACTTCATTCACTGGTTAAAAAGGTGGGAGCAGACAGCCAGGCTGGCTCATCTCACAGGAATCAAGTTTTGCTTCCCTTTCATAGCAGGTAGAAACTTGCATTATTGTTTTTGAAATGAAAGCTGAGTGTCTGGGCATTAGTTGTGAAGTTTGATGGACCCCTTGGAAAAACTCAGTGTCCACCCCCCACCTAGGCCTGCAGCCCCCTGCTCTAGGACAACAATCTAACAAAGCAGGTACTGAATCAGAATCTTGGGATTAAGCTCCAATATCTCAACTTCAGAGATAGCTCTCAGATATTTGATATTGAATCTATACATCACGGGGCAGTGGAGACAACATACACATACCCTTCTGAGGTCCTGCTCTGATTAAGTTTTAGAAGTTGTAGAGTTGTTGGTGACCTCTAAGTTAATCAAGCCACTGTGACAGAGGGCACTGGACACTTGCTTCTAGTATAATGCATTTTAAAATACTTCAAGTACACCATTGCAGGTGCTTTTCCCTCTACCAGAAACTTTGGTCAAGAGAAAACCTATTTCAGTGAGAAACTTTAGCAGAAGGTAAACCAAAGACTGAAAGGAATACATGTTCTCAGGCATATAGACCCATGTAAAGCTGTTAATAGAGAGGCGGCAACCAAGAGACTTTTCTGGGCTAGGCTGAGTCAGCTTTAATCAGTGACCAACAGGACTGTTTCAAGTTTATCCCCCTCTCCAGACATAAAAACCAACTACCTCATTTAGAACATATAAATTCCAGGTTGAACTGGGTGGGGGGACAATGCTTGAAGCCTCCAAGATAGTCTCATATGACTGCCCTATTTTTTATTTTTTTATTTTGTTTGCCACATAGTGTTTAGTTCCCACCACATAGATACTCCTTGTCCTGAAATACTCTTTGTGTGGTGGCCAAACGGACATTTCCCCCACCCAGAATTGTATGATCTTGGTCTTTAAAGAAAAAATTATTAAATACCCCCAATTAAGCATATGTATGGATGCTGTTGATGGCATCTGTCTCTCTTGGGAGACAATGGAAGAGTGCACCATTGGGGGTAAAATCAAACCATTGGAGAATTACAGCACCTGCTGTGGCTGCAGAGACCAATATGGGAGAAATGTTTCTCTGTAGGTGGGGCAGATGAAGGAGGCCAGTTTTTCTACGATGCACTATGGCATTTATTTTCTCTACACACCTCCCAGTGGTCATTCTCCCTCTGGTCACTGCTGTGAATACGCAAGCTAACTGATTGTCTCCAGGCAGTGCCGTCATCTGCAAGGGATTCCCACATGGCTGGTTTGATGTTGCCAGCCTTCATGTCTTGTTTGCAGACACCCTTGTAATGCAGAGTTGGTTTGCCAGTGGGCCTAGTGCCTGAAGCCAGCTCCCCGTATGGATGTACCAACACATTTTCCAATAGGTTTGTGCAGCGTGCAAAAAGCTGAAAGGGAGATGGAAGCCTGAGGCAACGTTTGGAAACATCTTAATTTCCAGGACCAAAGAATAACTGGATCGTAAGTGTCTGGAGTTTTAGCTTATGGATTATGCTCATTCATAATTGAACATAGTCCTACACATACAGCTACTCATACACATGTGAGCAATTAGCTATGGAAATACTTCAGTCATGAAGTTATATTAGGCTACAGCTCTCAGCTGTTGTTCCTTCTAAATTAAAAATAAATAAATTTAAGCCATGACCCGATTGTGTGAACTCCAGAGACCAAAACCAAACGGGAATTCAATTTAGAGCTGTGCCAAGCCATTATATCTTTGTACCAGGGAGCTTATGTGGCATCAGAATTCTTTTTAGGATATTGAACTAAATCTGCTCCTGGTCCTGCCTTCTTCTGGTTGGTGCCATATTTTGAGAAATACATCATCTTCCAAGTGCTCTGTTCCAGTAATGCAGAGGACTACACTGGCAATACATCTGTTGTTGCAATAATATACTGGTGCAATCTATTATCAGATTGAGACATACAAGTGATATATTACTCAAGAGGTGGTACTATTCTGAAAGGAAAGTCACCATGAAAGTATTCAGCTACTGAGCAACAGCCAAGCATAGCATACTTGAAGCCACTTTATTCCGAAATCTCAATATTATAGTCTGCTTAGTACTGTAGCTCTAGACTTTAAAATCTTCAGTTCATATGTCTCTTTTAAACCTTTATAAACATACTAAGAGCAACTACCATTAACCTTAAGGTCACTGTAAAACTGACTGCATACCATTGCATTATTTCTACTTTATAGCAGGACAATTCTTACTTACTCGTAACCATTTGGAACCAAGTAACATTGACCCCTAGATGGTCGGAAGAGCACACTGTATCTCATTATAATAATCTCAGCTCCATTCTTTACTCAACATTAATTATTTTCCATTCTAAAACATTTTGTGCTGCATGACAGCAAAACTTTAGCCTGTCGTTATCTGCGGGTCACTTTACCCTAACCTCCTTATTCCCCATTTCGAAGCATTTATTTCTTACAGCTCAGAACAGAGTTGGTCTAGTTTACATTTCCCCCCTGTGAATGATGCAAATTAAATATATCTAACACCTTCAAAGCATCTTCATAGCATAGGAAGATGCCATGAGCTTTTCTTCCATCCATTTCATGCAAACACTGCAGATTAAATAGGCTTTCTTTATCAGGGTTCAAGCTGATGTCTCTCCTGTCCCAAATAAATTTGGAACCAAATTTCACATAAAAACACATTTTTAGGGTCTTGCTTCAACGGGAGAAGTTTCAAGGGAAATTGGGTCAATTTGGATAAGCTACTGCAAGACAAGCGGGAAAAGCCATAGCTCGGTGGCAGAGCACAGGACCCATGAGAGGGGGAGGCAATGGGTACATTGTACCCCTGCCTGGGGTCAAAAGGGGGGCACAGGGGTCAGAAATTTCCTGGGACCTTAGAAAACATATGCATATGTTGCGTGAATACACAAAATGCCATGACACTTCTTCCTCTGCCCACTTCCTCTTCTGCCAATGTGCCCCCACCTACTTCTCCCATGCAATCCAGAGAGGCAGCAAAATTTAATGTAAGTGGGCAAGGCGAGAAAGCAAGCTCGCTTTGCCTCTCCTGCAGGTGATGTACTTCACCTTCTGAAGGGACTGCTGTCTGCCGGTGAAGGGTGTCGGTGCTGACAGTGGCCCGCCTTCAAGCAGAGGAATCTGAACAGCAAGCAACACGTTGGCGAATAATATACTGACAATATTTTTATAACACTATACTGTATCAAAAATCATAAACAGAAGACATGTAATATGTGCATGGAGTCACAAACTAATAAGAATCAGATAAACGTTCCATAACCAGGAATGGTAGGATTGGTAAATCACTGTCAAGGATCACTGAAATAGAGGCAGAATGCCTTTCCACAGTCAATATCCTCTCCAAAATATAGTTGGAAGTAAGTTGGAGCACGGTGGTTCTATGGGCACAACACTACAAACGTGAGGTGATGGATGCCCCAAACGTCACAATAGGGTGCTCCGAGCACAGCAGCAGACAGAACAGTTCTTCCAGGCTAATGAACAAATTAATCATCCCCAAAAGTACATCAAATGGCTGTGGATCAGCTATCACTCAAAAGTGTGGCAAGAGGAAGGCAAAGCAGAGGAAGGCAAAGCAGCTCATTGCTACCATTACCATCATGAAGAACTCACTACATCTGGAAAAATGATCTTTTCCAGACAACTGTCCTAAGAATCAGGAGATAGTTAATAACATGAAAAAGGTCATAGTCACAGAGAATGTTACTTAGCTTGGCGAACTAGAAATGTTCCTGCAGTCTGGGACAAGAGTTCACATCATCTTACAAGCATCCATCAAAACTGAAGCTGTGAAACGGTACAACTTGTTAAAGTGCATCACCAATGTTGCACTCTTCTTGGAAGAAAATGGTTTAGCAATTACTGATTGATCCCATCGAATTGGAGATTCCAACAATGGAAACTTTTTAGGACTCATTGAACTGCTCTCCAGGTAGGATCCCCATCCTTCAGGAACATGTGCTAAGTGCAGAGGAGTCACAGAAAAGGCGTGAGCAGCCTCAAGTTCGTTATTTGTCCCCTGCCTCACAAAATGAATTTATTACAGAATGCTTGAATCTTGTGAAGTGACACTTTTTGCTTGAGAGGCAATCTGCAAATGCTTTGCAGAAATAGTAGACTCTACACCAGTTTCTTCCCTTGTTGAACAAACAACGTTTCTTTGGAGATGTACTTTTAAAAGAAATGCAGTATGAGATTCAAGAGAGATTTCTGAAGTTTGCAGATTGTAGCAACAAAAGAGGGAAAGAAATGGCTCAGATGATAACTAATACATTGGAAAAACATGCTATTCCTCTCAGTGAATGTACAGCATAAGCCTACGATAATGGGACAAATGTGGCATGAAAATACAATGGCGCACAAGCCAGGGGTGAACAAAGCATGTACGGTACCCGGGGCAGGGGGGCAGGGCAAACCGACCGTACAGTGCATGCACAGTGCTGCTACGTATGGCGCATTCTGTGCTCACTCCCTCTGCCTCATGCACCCAGCCTTTTGCCCCGCTCCATCAGAAGAAGAAGAGTTTGGATTTGATATCCCGCTTTATCACTACCTGAAGGAGTCTCAAAGCAGCTAACATTCTCCTTTCCCTTCCTCCCCCACAACAAACACTCTGTGAGGTGAGTGGGGCTGAGAGACTTCAGAGAAGTGTGACTAGCCCAAGGTCACCCAGCAGCTGCATGTGGAGGAGCGGGGAAGCGAACCCGGTTCACCATATTACGAGTCTACTGCTCTTAACCACTACACCACACTGGCTCTCCAGAGTCAGGCGTCGGGTGTGCGAGGGAGGGAGAGCCGGGCAGGTCACTCTTTCTTTCCCTCTCTCCGCCCACACACGCCTCCCCCACCCACCCCACTCTGCCAGAGACAGCGGAGGTGACTCTGTGGCAGCGGCGGTTAGAGCAAGAGCAGACGCAACCGGGGATGGTGTGCCTCGGGTAGGCGGTGGTCTTTGCTGCTGCTGCTGCTGCCACTGCTGCCATGCCAGCTGCTGCTACTGCTCCTCCTGCCGCCCCTCCATCCTTGCTGTGGGGGTGAGGTGGCGGCAGCGGAGGTGTAGCTGTGAGCAGAGGATCCTTTGCACGCGGCTGCAGCAGCGTGATGGTACCCCCATGGGGTGTCCTCTTGTCACCCTGCCAGAGATGGTGCCGGGGGCAGTGCGCTCCCTCTGCCCCCCCCTTTCCTACGCCACTGGAACAAGCAAAAATACAAGAAAAATACTCAAAAGCAATTTTTTTCACCTTGTGGTTGTCACACACTCAACTTATGTGGAAATGCCGCTGCTGAATGCATACCTGAAGCAATAACCCTTTTCTGGGAACAATTAAAACTGTGTCCCACCTGTTCAGTTCCAGTCCTAAGTGGTAGGAAATACTACAAAAACTATATTGGTTGTTCTCTTCATAGTATGTCTAAAACAAGATGCTCAGAATGTTGAATTTTGCAGATCACTTGCCTGGTATTAAATTAGCAATGGAAAACCTCCTAGAACTAAATTTGATGGCCAAAATAAGAAATGAAGTCCATGGAGTTTTATTATATGTGACTTTTTTTGCCTGTGTGTTAGTGTCAGCCATGTGGTACAAAACATTAGCTGGCATAGATATTTGAAACAAGGTCATTCAAGCTAGAGATGCCACACTGGATGTTGATGTAACAGAGTTGACAAAACTCCAAAAGAAGTGGAAATGCCTGTGGAATGAAGCCAGATTGGTTGCATCAAACCTAAATATAGAAATAAAACTCTGTCCCATGTATGTAATTAAGTTAGGTGCAAGAGGACAAGGTCACATGACAACAGCACACCTGATGCTAACTTGGAAGAAATGAATGACACAGATGATACTCCAGAAGAGCCCTACTTCAGAAAGTGTGTTTTAGGTTTTGGTAGACAATGTTATAGCAGGGTTAACTGTCCACTTCAATGCTGTTAAGCAATTTGCACAAAAAATGCTTTCTTGTGGAAATATCTCACCATGTCTGAAAGTGAAGTGGAGAGAAAATCTTTATCTTTATCATAGCAATTTCCTGCTGATTTTAATTGGTGATGATTTCGGAAAAGAAATGCAACATTTAGCCTCAGTACACGAAGCAGATTTTGTAAATGTACAGTTAAAGCCATTAGGTCTGTTGAACTTGTTAAGAAAGTACAGACTTGGTGACCTGTTTCCAAATGTGTGTGCTAGCTTAAGAGTACTATTAACAATTCCAGCAACAGTAGCTTCTGGGGAGAGGTCACTCAGCAAACTTCAGCTGATTAATAATTATTTAAGGTCTACAATGTCTCAGAAACGTCTTGTGAATTTGGCCAGGCTAAGTATTGAATCAAACATTGCCATAACAATTAATTTTCATGCTGTGATTTGAAATTTTTCACAAAAGTCCAGAAAAGAGCATGCAGAAGGTCCCAAGATCAATCCCTGACATCTCCAGGTAGGGCTGGGAAAGACTCCTGCCTGAAACCCTGGAAAACCACTACCAGTCAGTGTAGCCCAGCCAGGGAGAAACTGTGGCCTTCCAGAAGTTGTGGGACTCCAACTCCCAACAACCCCAGCCAGCATTAGCAATTGGCTAGGATGATGGGAGTTGTCATCCAACAGCATCTGAAGGGCTACCGCTTGCAAGCAAAAGCCCCTCTTCACACCTTCCCTGCTCAACATGGGAAGGACAGACACTGAGTGGGCAGAGCCAACATGCACAACAACTGTGCCTCCTACACATGCTTCAATAGGCCTAGAGAAGACAATGGTTCTTATAGAGGACAATAAGAATGGAAGAAGTGTCCTGCTGGATGTGGCCCATCTAGGCCAGCATCCTGTTCTCAAGGTGGCTAGCCAGAGGCCTATGGGAAGCCTGAAAGCACAAACCTGAGCACAATAGCATGCTCCCCACTTGTGAGTCCCAGCAACTGGTGCCTACAGTGGAGGCTTTCCTACTTCTAATGGGGAGTCATGATGGAGAAAGTGTTCCTTCAGAAACCTCTGGCCCAGATCACCAAATAAGCTGAGGCCTACCTAACTTAAATGAAGCCAATGCCTGTGACAGTCAACTCTGATTAAGCAAGTAAAGTACTGGCTCAATTCCCTTGGCAACATGCTATATTTTTACTCCAGAAGACCAAGGGGGCCCTATTTGTTTGATTTAGCCCTTTAGACGTTCTCTGTTTTTGAAGCAAAATGCTTCCTTTTGCATTGAATAAAATGGAGTACTCTTTGTTATGTATTTAGACTCAGTTAACAAATAAAAATTCCAGCCAGGAAACAGCAATTAATATCACCATATGCCAAAACTGTTTCGTTCTCCTAACCAAAGAAAACTTATTTTTATTCTATTCAGGGATTAATCTGAGCCAAGGCTCAGCAATGGAACCTCTTTTTAATGCCAGCACTTGGCCCTTGAACATCTGAAGCAAAAACAAACCACGGATGTGTAGAATGCTTTTCCTCATCACTGTGGGAGAGTAACCACAATAGCCTACATACCTAGAATTAGATATTTCCAGGCAGTCTCATCTCCCGGCATCTGTCCACTTCAAAAATTAAAACACTGACTGTCTGTTTCCATCCCCCGCCTGTCCTTTAATTAATAGCACTCTCTACACGGGAACTAGAAAAAGAGTCAAATCCTTTCTGGAGGGTGACTGAGAAATTCAAGTTTTAGGAGAGAATTCTCCTCTTGAGAATTCCGTTGTGCACACAGTGCAGGAAAATGTATGAGCTGCTTCATCTTGGCTGTGTTGCCAAGGACCGATTTGGGAGCCATGCATTTTTCCACACAGTTGAGACTCAGACTCAGCAGTTTAGCAAGATGCCTCTCTGGACTAAAGACATAAACCGATGCAAGGAGGCACCCTCTGCCCCCTCGGAACCAACCACAGACCATTCTAAACTTAATACACTGACTTGAAGAAGCATGCCAAGGAGAGAAATGGTGACACAGACACACGGCTGGGATTGTCAGAGGAATGCTGCCAACACCCCCTCAGCTGACCACTCTTAAAGGGAAAACACATGCGTCTTCCGTATGCCTGCCAGCACTCTGCTAACAGTCATTTATGGGCTTTGGCTCCTCCTGATCAGAGCAAAGTTAAAGAAATCTTACCTAACCAACAAGCTAAAAGGCGTACAGTATTTACAAGAGAAGAAGATTTTCTTTTCTCTGCAAACAGCTTTCGGAACTGAATTTACAACCTTCAAACCACTCTGTGAATTCAAGTAAATTCAGTTTCTGGAAAGTCCTATTATAGCAGGGTGAGGCAAAATGCAGTAACTATATGTTTTTGTTCTAATACGGATATCTCTAAATTTAGTGTAAGAAAAGATGGTGCCCTAAAACTAATAGTAGCATGTTTCCCAAATTAATATTTGAGTTTTGGTGGCATAAGAACAGTAGTGCCTTTTCTTTTATTGCCTTACAATGCTTACTCGGAATGCCTACTGAATAAAGTGGGGCTTACCTCTGAGTAAATATGCACAGGAGACTTAGAACTGTGAGTTGCTCCTCACGCATAAGCACCAGCCTGAAAATAGTAAAAAGTAATATGCTGGAGACATGTTAATCCTTTCAGTCTTTCTTCCATAGCCCTGCCCTCTCCGTCAGAAAGGATATATGGAGAAAGTGGCAGTACATTGGGCGGGGGCGGGGGGTTAAACTTCAGCCAGGCCGCTTAATTGGCTCCAGGTGTCCGATGAGCCAAACCAAACCAAACCAAACCAAACCAGGAGGTTTCAGCAGCAGCTGGGCAAGAATGTGCCACAAATAAAAACGGGCTGCGGTTGTGTAGTAAAAGGAAATGGATGTCTATGCCCAGTTTTTCCTAGGAGAAGAATAGGGTTGGAACAGCAATGCCACGAGTATTACTTTCTTGTCGACGAACAGAATGAGCTATAGCTCAGTAGGCACATAGTGACAGGGTTGTCAACTTTTTGACAGACCAGTGTAGCAGCTTGTTGTGCATACTTTAGCCGTTGGCAACCTTTAGGTTCACATGGTGAAATAAAGCTACAATTATACGAGAGGAGTAGGGAACAGACTGTTGCTTTTTCTGATCAGTTGGCAATCATAAAAACTTATTTCTTTATTTAAATATTTGCAAACTGCACTTTTGTAAAACTACAGCAAGGCAATGCACAACATACAAAAGTTACAACAACAATAAAATATCAGAGCAGGGATGGACATCTATAAATATGGGTTGGTTAAAAAATAATTTGCATTTCAAAGTCTCATCTGAATAACCCTATTTTTAGGTGACATAAAGAAGGCAGGGATGATTCCTGCTGAACTTCTGCTGGCAAGGACTTCCACAGGGCAAGTGTTAAATATATAAGTTTAATACACATAAACTGTAATGTTTGTATGCACTGAGGTTAAAAAAAAAAAGTTATGTAGAACTCAGGGTCCTAGTCAGTCCTTGGAGTCAACAGCAGTAGAAGCTCAGCTCAGCGATGATGAACAAGCAAGATGATTGCTTGTTCTTTGGGGCCAGGGAGAGGAAAGTTTCTTAAACGGTACAGTGGTACCTTGGGTTAAGTACTTAATTCATTCTGGAGGTCCGTTCTTAACCTGAAACTGTTCTTAACCTGAAGCACCACTTTAGCTAATGGGGCCTCCTGTTGCTGCCGTGCCGCAGGAGCACGATTTCTGTTCTCATCCTGAAGCGAAGTTCTTAACCCGAGGTACTATTTCAGGGTTAGCGGAGTCTGTAACCTGAAGCGTCTGTAACCTGAAGCGTCTGTAACCCGAGGTACCACTGTATTAAGGACTAGAAAGACAAGCTATCTGTTACTTTGTATTTTTGCAATGTTTTATTTTGTAAGTAGTTTAAGGCAGTTTTGCAGTAGTAAAACCTTTTGGAATGCATTCTTGTGGTGGAGCTCATTCATTTCTACTCTGCATAAGGTCCAGCTCAGGCATTCCGCTTGCAGCAACTCAAACAGCAAGCCCTGCCACACTAAAGGCTCAGTCCCTAATAAAGGCTGACCAAACCTCAGGGGTGTGGGGAACCACAAAAGTGCCCCATCAGAGAATCTCAGTGACCAAGGTGAAGCATAAAGGATCGGGCAATTTTCAAGGTGCTTTGAGACCAAGTTGTTTAAGGATTTGTGAATTAATTCAAGAACTATGAGCTGAGTCCAGCAGCAAACTGGCAAAAATAGTTTTTCAAGTTGTTTAGCCTTTGAGTTTTTAAAGCTGGGATTGCCAGCTGATAAGAAGTTGAAAAAGCGGCGTGGAGCTTTTTAGTAGAGCTATGATATGCATAAACCAACAAGCAATGCTTTTTAAACTTCGGAAATAAATATTATCAGTGATTAGTTGCTTCAGTTCCTATTGCTGTTAATCAACTGTTCCCCTGTCTCCAGTTCTTCAGTGCACAGGGTTAAGGAGAGACTTGTCTTTTTAAAAAGAATTACAATAAACATGTTGCAAGACAATAACATATTTTGTGTTATCCAAATATCACTCAAAAATCATGTTACATAAAAATGAAATAAGAAAGCCTTGTTGATTTTACCTCTAATATTTTGAAAGTACAAATGAAATGGACAAAGGCCTTAACCACACGGAAGTTTAATGTAGATTTGAAACTGCATTTGATTTTTGGATGTTGCCCACATGATGTTTTCACTATTCAACTGGTATGCTTTAGTATTTCAACAATATACTTGGATTTTCCCTATCTGGAAAAAATCTGAACAGGGGAAGTAAATCCCAAATAAAATCACCTGGTACCCAACTGCAGACACGCAGGAGTGCATTGTCTAGATGGGTTCTGGTGATTTCTGTTTTGTTTCTGTCAGCTAAAAAAACCTTGCTGCTTTTCCCTTTTTAAAAAAAGTTTGCAGCCTTCTAACCTGTTTCTGGCCCATTAGAGTGTTTTTTTTAAACTAGCCTCCTGTGAGGAACTTGTCGTAGGCTTTTTGAAAGGCCATATAAATTATGTTGTTCAGTTCCCCTTTTGTTGACCACTTTGGTCATATTTTCCATTTGTAACAGAAGAATGAATTTCCCTTTACAGAACCTTTCCCAGTTTTCTGCCATCTCTTCCTAGACATGCCCAAACCTTATTTTCCACCCTCCCTTTAGCTATCTACTGTGTAACATAAAATGCCATACACAAAGCTGTCGTTTTTGACTAGGAATAACTAGTTCCTGCTCTAGGGCCTATGTGAAAAGTGGTCAGGGTGGCTGGGGGTGGAGTGAGGGGCAAGGATAAGCAAGCTGGATTTTTAGCATCTCTGGTACCAACTGGTTAAATTTAAAGTAGACTCGAATCTTTGTTAGGCTTTCTCCACTCAAGCAATTACAGTCATGGAGAGAGCAGGTTCACACTTGCCGCCTTGCCCCCCCCCCCCCCACTGTTGCACCCTGATGCCCTCACACAGAAGCTCCCCATGCAATTTATAGTGCTGCATGAGCAGGATTCTAAACTATAGGCATGAGCCTATAGGCATGCAGCAGGCTTGCTGCTTTCGTCCTTCCAATGTATAGATGGTGGCAGGGAAGTGAGCAAGGATTGACAGAAGGGGCAGGGCCAGGAAATGCAGGTGCCCATGCTTCTTCCCCTCACACCAACATGTAACTCAGTATTTGGGGATTTTTCCTTTTTGTACAATCTTGTACAATGGGACTTTGGGACATTTTTCGTCATTGTACAGTCTTGTGTGATAAATAAGGATGGGGGAGGAATATCAGTTCACATTTAATGGGAAACCAGGTTAACATGCACTTTCTGAAACAATACACCAACCAAAACACAGCCATTCTTCTAAATTTACTCTTCTCTGAATTTTGCAATGTAGTTCTCTCACCAAGTAAGCCATGCAATGTGTTACAAAAATGCTTATACTAGGGCAAAGTGTGCATATCACTGCATATTTGAGTGATCAGAAGTTAATGATGTATTTGGGGAAATATATTCAGGGAAACTGCTTTGCAAAAATGTGAATATCTGACAAATTGCATTTAAAAAGTAAGTGTGTGTGTGTGTGTGTGTGTGTGTGTGTGTGTGTAGAAATTCATGGATGAATTTTCATGAGGGCTTTTTTATTTTAAAAAAGTTGCAAACTGATGTGGAAATATGGAGAACTGTCCTTGAAGATGAGAAAAATGAGAAATTGAGAGAAACCAAAATTGACAGATTTCCCCATCCCTAGTGATAAATTAGACAAAAAGCAATATAAGCCCGAGATGCTATAACTATATTATAACTATTGACATAAGGTAGATGAGCACTCTGTTTCTAGAGGAAAATGCTTTTAATTTCCGTTCATTTATCCTCAGGTTTCTGCAAGAGACCATGTGTGTCATAGTTCCTGTAAGTTAGCCTTTGGGTAGTTGAACCCGTCACAGGGTTGTCAGTAAAATCACAGGCTGTGACAACTGCTTTGGCCTTCGTAACACAGTACCATCCACCCATATTAGACTCTGAACCAGTGAATGTATCTGTATAGTCAGAGGAGCCTGTGTGGTGTCGTGGTCTGAATGTCAGCATAGGGCCGAGGAGACCCAAGT